TAAGACTTTTCACATTTTCTTGGTGTATTTTATCTGTCTGGAGAAAAAAGATTATGAGTGATTTAACATGATTTAAAATATTTGAAGTTATTGAATCTGAGCATTAAAAGTTTATTTATAGTATAATGTGGACATATTTGAAGTAGTTGTGTATCAGAAAAAGGGATTTAGCACAAACAATTTAGTAGTTTCTGTATTTGACAATGGATGCAAACAGCCACAGTCACTTCTTGATTTTTCTTCTCTGTTTAATCTTTTGTTAATCTCTTACTTGCCATCACCAAATGTTGCTAATATTTAAAGTTAGTTTACAATCTAGTAGCAGAGTTAAACATTAGTAACTTTTGTTGTCTCCTAACTTAGGTGCTAAAACATACTTATGAATTATCTTTAACCACATTCAAAACAATCCCACCAATGCGCATTCCGAGGAGGAACCAGAGCTGGGAGGCCTGGGGATGGACTGTCCGATCTCGGGGGCAGAAGTTGCTGAGGTAGTCAAACAACTACACAGCGGCGGAGCCCCGGGGGCGGATGAGGTTCGTCCTGGGTATCTCAAGGCTATGGATGTTGTAGGGCTGTCATGGTTGACACGTCTCTACAACATTGCGTGGTCATCGGGGGCAGTTCCTAGGGAGTGGCAGACCGGGGTGGTGGTCCCCATCTTTAAGAAGGGTGACCTGAGGGTGTGTTCCAACTATAGGGGGATCACACTCCTCAGCCTCCCTGGAAAGGTCTACTCCAAGGTACTGGAGAGGAGGGTCCGATCGATAGTTGAATCTCAGATAGAGGAGGAGCAATGTGGTTTTCGTCCTGGCCGTGGAACTGTGGACCAGCTCTATACCCTTGCAAGGGTGATGGAGGGGGCATGGGAGTTTGCCCAACCAATCCACATGTGCTTTGTGGATTTGGAGAAGGCTTATGACCGTGTCCCCAGGGGCACCCTGTGGGGGACGCTCCAGGAGTATGGGGTGGGTGGCTTTCTGTTAAGGGCCATTCAGTCCCTTTACCAGAGGAGCGTGAGTTTGGTCCGCATAGCCGGTAGTAAGTCGGACCTGTTCCCAGTGAGGGTTGGACTCCGCCAGGGCTGCCCTTTGTCACCGGTTCTGTTCATCACTTTTATGGACAGAATTTCTAGACGCAGCCGTGGTGTGGAGTGTGTCGAGTTTGGTGGCAGGAGAATCTCGTCTCTGCTTTTTGCGGATGACGTGGTCCTCCTAGCTTCATCCAGCTCTGACCTTCAGCTCTTGCTGGGTAGGTTCGCGGCCGAGTGTGAAGCGGCTGGGATGAGGATCAGCACCTCCAAATCTGAGACCATGGTTCTCGACCGGAAAAGGGTGGCTTGCCACCTCCGGGTCGGGGGAGAGGTCCTACCTCAAGTGGAGGAGTTTAAGTATCTCGGGGTCTTGTTCACGAGTGAGGGTAGGAGGGATCGGGAGATCGACAGGCGGATTGGTTCGGCGTCTGCAGTGATGCGGACGCTGAGCCGATCTGTCGTGGGGAAGAGGGAGCTGAGCCAGAAAGCCAGGCTCTCGATTTACCGGTCGATCTACGTCCCAATCCTCACCTATGGTCATGAGCTTTGGGTAATGACCGAAAGAACGAGATCGCGGATGCAAGCGGCCGAAATGAGTTTCCTCCGTAGGGTGGCCGGGCTCAGCCTTAGAGATAGGGTGAGGAGCTCGGACATTCGGGAGGGACTCGGAGTAGAACCGCTGCTCCTCCGGATCGAAAGGAGCCAGTTGAGGTGGTTTGGGCATCTGGTCAGGATGCCTCCTGGACGCCTCCCCGGGGAGGTGTTTCGGGCATGTCCTGCCGGCAGAAGGCCCCCGGGTCGACCCAGGACACGTTGGAGAGGTTACATCTCCAATCTGGTCCGGGAACGCCTTGGGGTCCTGCCGGAGGAGCTGGTGGACAAGGCCGGGGAGAGGACGGCCTGGAGCTCCCTAGTTGGGATGCTGCCCCCGCGACCCGGACCCGGATAAGCGGAGGAAGACGAGACGAGACGAGACACATTCAAAACAAATTATAGAATGAAAAATAATCAAACACTTAAAGATAAACTATTATATTCTGAATCAGTAAACACTGGCACATTCATTTAAAACATGCACAACAAATGTCACTCTAAAATTTTATGATCATGGTCCATTTGTTTTACCTTACATTATTCAGGGTCATTGTGAGATTTACATGTAAATGCCAGCTGAAAAGGTTTTCTTCAAATTACTCGAGAGGAGGCTCCAGTTGAGGTAAATCTCATATTGAGGAGGAGCAATGTGGGTTTCGTCCGAGCTGTGGAACCATGGAACAACTCTTCCAGTCTACATGTGTTTTGTGGATCTGGAGAAGGCTTATGACTGTGTTCCCAGGGGTACCCTGTGGGGGGCACTCAGTGGGTATGGGGTAGATGGCCCTTTGTTAAGAGTCACTCAGAGTGTGAGCCTGGTCAGTGTTGCCAGCAGTAAGCCGGACCTGTTCCCTGTGAGGGTTGGACTCTACACAACCATGAGGTGGACAGTTTCTTGTTTGATAGCAGGAGGATCTCATCTCTGCAATTTTCAGATGATTCAGTACTCTTGGCTCCATCAAGCTGTCACCTTGAGTATGAAGCTGCTGGGACGAAGATCAGCATCTATGAATTCTTTGTCATGGTCCTTGACCAGAAAAGGGTGGCTTTCCAATTCTTGGTTGAGGCAGAGGTTCTACTTCAAGTGAGGTAGTTTTTCTCTGTTTGTTTTATTTGTAGTAATTGTGTAGGTAATATCAGTCAGAATATTAAAATATAATATTTAAATGTTGTCAGTAAAACACATAATAAAGATTTGGGTATCTGGCCCAAATCTGATCCACGATTTTGAAATTAATTGAAAAGGCCTGTTCTAAGCCAACAGTAACAGAACAGATCTGAACACTCATCTGGTGAAACATCACAGAATATAATGAGGCTTTCACAAGCAGGTACAGATTATGCTTAAAGAGATCATTTAGGCTTAGATGCTTGTTCTTTTTGAAACATTCCAGTTGGTACACCAAGATAAATCTTTTAAATCAGTAGTTCAGCCACTTAATCATCAACAAAATGAGGCCCTGAAAGATGAGCTTCTTTTCGGCTGGGTGGGTACAGGTTGCTTAATAACCAGCACCACATTGCCCCCGCGTTTACTTAGGGAAGTTTTTCAAACAGTTGCACCACTGATTTTGCACATCATCAATAACAGTTTGGCTTCTGGTTTTGTACCGACAGATTTTTAAAGAAAAGTTATTCACCCACTTTTTTAAAAAAAACCTGGGTTGGATGCTTCCTTACCAGTGAATTATAGGCCAATCTCCAAGCTCCCTTTTTCGGGTAAGATGCTTGAAAAATGTGTCTATACTCAACTCATGGACTTCTTTAAGGATTTTGATATTTTAGAGACCCTCCAATCAGGTTTTAAAATGTTGCATAGTACCGAGACTGCCCTTATCAAGGTCTTTAATGGCATTCTTTTAGCAACAGACGGTGGCAATCCAGTGCTGCTGGTCCTATTGGATCTTACAGCAGCTTTCGATAGCGTAGACCACGAAGTGTTGCTCCATCGCCTTGAACATTATGTGGGAATTTCTGGGCAAGCCCTAAACTGGTTTAGATCATATTTACGTGACAGGATGGTTTGTGTGAGGATGGGTGGCTTCTTACCGGGCTTCTCACATCTGCCATGGGGGATACCGCAGGGTTCAATACTGGGACCCTTGCTGTTTTTCAATTTATATTCTCCCATTGGGTGACATTTTACAAAAGTTTGGAATTGGATTCCATCTCTATGCCGACGACCGCCAATTGTACTTGCCTCTAGATGGTGCCGGTGATCACACGATAAAATTTTTTTTTTTGGATTGTCTGGCAGAAATGAAGATATGGTTGGCAGAAATATGCCTGTGTCTCAATAGGAAAAAACAGAGGCACTGTTGTTTGGTCTGAGCGGACACAATGATTTTTCAAACGTAGACTGCGGTGAACTGAACTCCTATTTGGGTGTTTTAGCAGTCAACCTTGGCGTGAAGATGGACAGTGCATTCTGCATGAATGCTTATGTGGGTACTGTAGTATCCTTTTCATTTTATCATTTAAGACGTTTGGCTAAAGTAAAGCCGTTTTTATCCAGACGTGACCTTGAGACTGTTGTTCATGCTTTTATTACCTCACGACTCAACAATTGTAATTCCATTTTATTTGGTGTAAGTAAGGGTACGGTAAACCGGCTGCAGCAAGATTCTTGGACAACAAAAGGAAGCATGAACACGTGACACCAATTTTGGCTGCTCTCCACTGGTTGCCTGTTGATTTTAGAATTCGTTTTAAACTTCTTTTAATGGTGTTTAAGGTGCTGAGTGGTGTGGCTCCAACCTATTTGACGGAGTTGCTGCAGCCATATGTTCCAGCTCGGTCACTCCGCTCTGAGAACCAGCTGCTGCTTGTGGCTCCTAAGACTAGGTTGAAGTTGAGAGGGGACAGGGCGTTCTCTGTTGCGGGTCCGAAACTGTGGAACGCACTGCCCCTAACTATTAGGGGCTCTCCATCAGTAGCAGTTTTTAAAATGAGGCTGAAAACCTACTTTTATGATCTGGCTTTTAATTCTGTGGGTTAGCAATTGTTAATGTTTTTTATTTTGTAATTCTTATTTGTGGTTTTAATTATGTCTGTGGTTCTATATGTTTTATTGTTTTATTCTTTTGTTGTACAGCACCTTGGTGGCATGCTCATGCCTGTAAGGTGCTTTATAAATAAAGGCTGAGTGAGTGAGTGAGTGAGTGAGTGAGTGAGTGAGTGAGTGAGTGAGTCTCCTTACCCATCCTAGTCTACGAAGCTGTCACTTACAAAAGGTAAAAAATGTATAGTAATGTTCAACAACGTCAGACTGGGTTCAATGGCACACAACTTGTGGTTCTCAAGCCATTTCATATCAGATTCGTATGCATATGTTAAATCCATTCCTTTTTTCTCTCTCTCTCTTTTGTAGTCGCTTGGATGCAAACCACATTTCAGCAGTTCCAGAAGACAGTTTTGAAGGGCTTCAGCAACTGCGCCACCTTTGGCTGGATGATAACCACCTGACTGAAGTCCCTGTTGGTTCTTTGAGACACCAGGAAAACCTTCAGGCTCTGACACTGGCACTCAACCGCATCCTGTTCATACCAGACAACGCCTTTGCAAACCTCACAAGTCTGGTTGTGCTGTAAGTCATCTTAAGCTTCATTCTAATTGTGGTTTAGTAGCGTTGAATGTTTCAGTCATATTTCTGAATAGTTCAACCTGTGTTACAGTTGAAGGCTGATACAGAGCATTGTCGACACAAAACCAAGTGGTGCTGTAAACGCTGATCTTCTCACGTCAAGCTGTCAAAAAAGATGGCTGTCATTAGTATGTGTAAACTTGAATTAAATAGAATTCGATTTGCTGATTACCATGCAACAAAATTCAAATATATATTTTCAGAACCTTCATCATGAATCACAACATGATTCCTGATAATTCAGAAAAATTCCTTCACAATGTTGAGGGTTTGATTTAAAGCTTAATAATGATAAAACACATTTTAGTTATTTTAAAATTAAAATACATACTATTTTAACTTATTTATCAGAGTGACAAAGTGATTTTTGGGAAGGATGGAGAGTTGAGTAAAATTAAGCATTCAAAGATTGTCTTTATTAAATTTTAGATAATTTGCAATGCTGTTGCAAAAAGTATTTTTTAGAAATGTTTTATAGAAAGCAAGCAAGAAAGAAAATTATCTTTTATGTAGAGCCTCTCAAGATAAAAATCACGAGGCTCTTCACAAAAACATAACATTTAAAATATTTTAAAAAATTGTTAATTATTAACAAATATGTTTAAAATGACCAAAACGAAATAAATAAATTGTGATTAAAAAATGTAAAAAAGGGAAAGAGAACATTAATAGGAAAAAGGGAAATCGGTGGATCTCGTTAAACGCGAAATAGGTAGAAGGAACAGAACAAGGAGAGGGTGGTGATGAAGGTCACTCAAAAGCCAGCTTGAGCTAGGCTGGATTTGCCTGGCAAGCCAGCCTATGTATGAGAATATATAGTCTTGCCATGGTCCATTGATGGCTCTCAGTTGTCGGCTGTCTTTCTAGGCATGCTATTGGACAATAAAAAAAAGTGACGTCCTCGCCTCTACGGATGTCAGTCAATGAGGCAGTCCACCATACACCAAGATTATGCAAATACATGATTTTTATATTGCTATCTGCTCGAAATAGTCACTCTAACCCTAATGCCAAAGCTGTTTCAAACATAGTTGCCATTTATGTTTGTTCAGTAAAATTCCGCCCTAAAACAGAGCACTGTGATTGGACTGCTGTGGTTGTATGGCAGTCTGCCATGCATCCTGGAAGAAGCAGTGAGAAAGACCAAAATACATAGATTTTTCTTAATAAATGCGGTGTGATTGGCCAGTCACTAGATTGGCCAGTGCTGCAGAAGTTGGAGAACTGCTAGACTGTAATGCAAAGCAAGCTTATTTTGTTTTGGCAAATGATGGTGTAGATTCTTGGCTAATGCTGGATGTATGTGGGGAAAATGAGTTCCATAAAATTGAGCTTTTTATTTAAGAAGAAAAATAAGAAAAAGTTTTTTTACATAGCGCCTCTCAGGATAACAACATGCTTTGGCGATTTGGTCAAAAGCCAAGCATTCGCACCACCTGTTAATGGTTCAGGGAGGTATTGCTCAGACAAGTGAAAAGAGAGTTGCCGTAGTCTGAGCGTGAGGAGATGAAGGTGTGGATAACTGACTCAAGTTCAGAGCGGGACAGAATGGGTCTCAGCTTAGCAATGTTCCTGAGATGGAAGAAGGAAGAGCCAACAAGAGAACTGACATGAGAATTCAGGGGGAGAGCTGGGTCAAAGGTCACACCCAAGATTCCTGACAGAGGGTTTGGTGTGAGAAGCAAGCTGATCAAAAGGGAACCAGCTTGTCTTGGGCACAGATGAGGATCTTGATCTTCTCATCATTCAGCTGTAGAAAGTTCCCAGCTATCTGGATTTTAGTAAAGTCTAAGCAGCTGCAGCTTGAGACATCTCATGGGGCTTAAAGGAGATGTACAGATGGATGTCAACTTCGTAAAGGTGGTAAGAGTTTCCTTTAAAAGAGCTCAGGATATGCTGGGCAGAGAGCAGATAAAGGAGGAACAGTAGAGCCCCAGCACAGAACCTTGAGGAACACCATGGTGTGAGGGAGGTGGAGGACTGAAACTAGGAGACGGCCACAGTGAAGGAACGCTCAGACAGATAAAAGGAAAACCACTCCAGAGCAGTTCCTGATAGGCCTACCCAGTCTCTATCCCAGTGCCTATCCAGTAGCAGGTGATGGTCTACAGTGTCAAAGGCTGCAGTCAGGTCCAGCAGAACCAGAACAGAACAGTCCCCTGCATCACTGTGAGTCAAAAGGTCACTAGAGACTAAGAAGAGCTGTTTTAGTTGAATGAGTTGATTTCCCTTTTGACTTATACTAAGACTAGTTGGGAGGATAGCAGCTAAAACTAGGCTCAGTCCAGCTTTATTTAGAGCATAGCACATTTACAAAACGTGTGTTGACCAAAGTTCTACACAAAATAATATTTATAAAGCACAGAAACACATTAATGGAAAAATATGGCATTAACCTGTGATGGACCTGCAGGTTAGGAATGTTATCTGTTTTAAATGTCTCAACAGAGACAAAAGAAATGTGTATTGCTACTAGAATCTTAGCAGTTGATTTAATATAGTTGTATACATTGTCAAAATATGGATTGAAAGAATTTGAGGATTTCAAGAAAGATGATCTCCAATTCATCTTTATTGATTTACGCAAGTTTTAAGGCAAAATATAAACCAATAGTTTGTCATCCACATAAAGTTATTTTATTCATAAATTACACACTATTATATAAATAGCATACATGTATTGCATTAGCTTTTGTGCTAATCATAAGAAAATGTGGTAATAGGAATTGTTTTTCATATTTCTTTGATTTATTATTTTTTTAATGAGCACTTCAAGACCTCAAACCTATTTTCTTGACCTAGATTAGGGTCTTAATCCCAAAGTTAGGAGCCACAGATTTAAACAATGAAATAACATTTCCTCTATGGAGATATGAGAATGGATCGATAGAACTTCGATATGAAGAACAGGTGACCAGCAAATCATATTAAGTGTTGCTCTGCATTGGACCAATCATGTGATTGGAATAAAGCCACACAGTAGCAGACGAGTTGCTAGCAGCTAATGTTTATGTAGATTTAGCCTTCGACAGTGTATGGCGGACTGCCCCGTCACTAACATCTGCAGCGGTGAGCATGTCACGTTGTTTGTTGTCCAATAGAATGTGGAGACAGTTTGAAAGACAACTGTAGATTTCACCCCACAACCAAGCTTCATCTATGTGACCAGACCAGTGATGGGCATAACGGCGTTAAATGAACGGCGTAACTAAAAAAAATTGTTTTTTCAGTAACGAGTAATCTAATTAATTACCGTCCTCTTTCATCATAATGCTGTTTCCGTTACTGATAAGAAAATGCGTGCGTCACTAATTCAGCAGCGAGGTGTGTTGAAGCCGTCATCAGCTGATTGGGAGTTAAAGAGGCGGATGTTTTCATCCAAGAGCATCACAGCCTGTGAAGAATAGTCTCCGCCTGCAGACCCGCAGATTCACTGCTGCAGGTGGGAATTCCGAAGGTCCGCTCACCTGTTCACCGCTCAGGTGTCACGATCTTCTACCTTCCTAGATCACCCAACTGTAATCTGTTTCTGATCATCTCTTCAGTCCCGCTGTAACACTGGTTGTATCAGTCTCAGACGTCATGGAGCTCAGGTGTTATTAGAAGTACCTGCGTGTCTTTACCACCCAGCTTCAGCTCTTCTGTGTTTGGATCTGACCCAAGTCAGCAAATTTAAGTTATCCATCAGATTTGTGCCTCTTCTAGTGTCATTTTAAAGGATTTTTATTTATTTATTTATTCATTCATTCATTTAGTTATTTATTTATTTATTTATCCGTTACTAGATTACCATCAACAGAAATGCTGCTAAAAAACACACAAATATGTGAAGCTGGAAAAATTAGAAAACTGTGCAAAATTACATTTATTTCAGTACTTTAACTAGACTGAGAGACCATTTAAAGGCTCAGGAAGCTTTGAAGGTGTTTCTATTTGCAATTATAAATTTTAGCTGATTGGGGTCTTATTAAATGTCACACAGTGACCTTTTAATAGTCTAGGTTAGTGATTAGTTCCTCTTGTTAAGTGTGCATTTATTTCAATTATTCAGTTTTCTAAAAAAACATTTGGACATACATTTTAATATGTCATTAGTCATTTATATTTCAATATTGTCATCATTTATAGTAAATTAAGTACATTTAATTAAGAGGGGAACCCGTTTTTCTTGCATTTTTTGATGTAAAAAAGTAATGTTTCTTGGTAATTAGTTACTTTTATAATCTTGTAACTCTGTAAGTAACCGAGTTACCTTTTTGGCAAGGTAATCAATAATTATAAATGCTTTTTAAAAGTAACATTCCCAACTATATTTTAAACCACCTTTCTCTTCTCCTCTAATGCTTGAAGATTTTAGTTTAAAATAAACTTATTTTATTAATCCCAAACAGTTATATAATATTTGACATGTTCAGCGTTTGAACAATACTTTGATATCTTCAAATCTCAGTTCAAAGTCCCAGAGAACACTAAAGACTGGCAAAATAGTAGTTTGTTTTATATTGTGATGTATGTCAGTATCGACTGATATGAAAGTATTCCATGATAGAAGTTTTTGTATTGCCCAGGCCTAGTTTATTCTCTCAAATGGTTTTAAACATTCCAGTTGGTAAACATCTATCTTTAAATTTAACAATAATGCAGTAGACTTTTAGCACAAGTAAGCTGTAATTCAGCTTTGGTTTTTCATACATGATCCATCAATTGAAACAAATTCAGAGTTTCTGCTTTGCTCTGATTCTCCTCAGAATTCATGTTCAAAGCCTCAACAACCCAGCCTCCCAACACAAACATCATGTAATATTTATTTTCACAGCTTGTCGTTAATAAGTCAACAAAACATGTTGCTACTCAAACCTTGTTGGGTTTTTCAAGCAGGCACTTTGGAAGAGAAAGATGGCAACGGGTTTTCAATCTGAATTTTAATGACCTCTGAGCAGTGATGTCAAATTAAGTCTGTATTGTTTTATGTAACGAGAGAAAAGCTTAAATCTTCAACATAGCAAACTTGGATGAGAGTCTGAGTAATTGTTTCAAACTTGTCTCTGCTGTTATTAATTTGCACATACACACTCGCCCACACACACTCACATGCGCATCAAGTAGGACTGGATGCTTGGTTAGTATAAACATGTCAGAAAAGGAAAAAAAACGAGCTGAATGTATTCGTCAGCACAGTCCTGCTGCACAAATACGTAACACACAGACCCCTCATTCATGAAGCCTGCTCTGCATTCAGAAGCTTTTAGTGAAAGAAGATATAACCAACGATCAAATAAAGGTTTGAAGCCAGTATTCAATGTTTGAACATCTCAAAGGTCTTTCTTGTATTTTTCAAGGCATCTTCATAACAACAGAATTAAGGAGATAGGAGACAACTGTTTTGCTGGACTGGTGAACCTGGAGACCCTGTAAGTCTACATTCATTCCACAGTTTGTTTTCGTGTCTGCATGTGTTTGTGTATCAGGCTGAGTCAGTTTGAGTTTTTGGATTTTTGTTCGTATGGACGAACAGCTCCTCCACCCAGTGCCGCTCCAGTCCTCCAGACATCATTGTGTCCACTTCCTCCTTTAATTGCTGTAGGATAAATAGAGTGAAGTACACGATGCTTATCAAATCTACCCTCCCTTTGCTCTCTTCCTACTGCCACACAGCCATGAATAATCCTTTAGCAGCTCCACCCAATGGTAAACCTTCACAGTTTGTTTTCTGAGACTCCGTTTTATTCCTCCAATATTCAGATCCCTCAAAGAAGACAGAACTAATTTTCCCAACTTGACAAGATTTCCTGAGGCCCTAATAAAATGTCTTTTATATACTTGGTCAAATTACTCAACAATTATAGTAACAGTACAGAAAATGCCTTAAAAAGTGCAAATTTTTGGTTGAAATCACTGATTTGAATTAGTAAAACACTACTGTGAGAAAAGACGTATTTATGCTGAGTCATGTAGAGCTTATGACTCAATAGCAAACAAGGTGTGACAGTCCGGGAAGTCAATAGAGATTTTATATTTTGGTTTGATGATTATAAAAGTAGTAACTCAGTTTATTTATTTATAATTTGCTTGTTTCTCTTTATTTCAGTCATGAAACATATCAAAAAGATATTTTTATTTTCTTTTAACTTTATTTTCATTTATTCACATAAAAAGAAAAATAAACAAAAGTAAAACCGAAATAAAAAGCAGACAGAAAGAAGAAAAGCGTATGTTGTCTGCCCCTTCTAACTCTAATAATGCTAATACAAATGAAATAACAGTATAATTGTCAATGAATGTTAAACATAGTGATTGTTGGACTGGTTGGTTAACAAAATTTCAATTCATAAAGTAAAGCTGGAAAGGAGGAGGAAAAAAATTAACACAAAAGGAGAAGAATACTTACATACCTACATACACATACATACATACAAACTTATATATATATATATATATATATATATATATATATATATATATGTGTATATATATATATAGCGAACAAGGTGTGACAGTCAGGGAAGTCTATAGAGATTTTATATGTTGGTGTGATATATATGTATATATATTAGGGATGGGTACCGAATTCGGTACTTTTTAAGGTACCGACCGAATTCCATGGTACCGACCGAGCACCGATTCACGTCATTTCAAACGGTGCCTCGTTTCGGTACCCGTCCTTCATAACGAGAACTTGCCAAGACTGCTGTGCATGCGCAAGAGCGTTATGTCTTCGCTCGCTGCGAGCGAGTTGTAAACAGAGCAGCATGGTAGAAAGAACACACGCTAAAGCTTGGGTCCACTTCACTAAATGTGATGGGTAACTGGGTGATGATGAAACCAGCGACAACGATCTAAGTGAGACATCCTCATCTTAATCTGCTCTGGTAGGTAAATAAAATGTTTAAGATAACGTTAGCTTGATTTGTTAGCTTCCGTTTCGCTAATGGTGCGTTCGCTTTCTCCTCGGAACTCCGAATTTCTGACTAGAAGAACATGAACGCGCTCTAAAGTTTGGCTTCACTTTACTAAATGCGACGGGTGAAGATGAAACCAGCAACAATGATCTAAGTGTGAGGCATCATCGTTTTAATCTGCTCCAGCAGTTAAATAAACTGTTTAAGATAACGTTAGCTTGATATGTTAGCCTCCATTGCCACCGTTGTTATCAGCTAATGGTGCGTTCGCTTTCTCCTGGGAAATTCTAACTTCCCAGTAGGAAAAATCAAATGAAAAAGGAATGAAGATACACAGTAAATTTAGTTCACAGTAAAGATGTTTGCTTCAGTTTAATTATCAGCTTATAAAACTACAAGGATGATGTTAAAATACAAACAGTTGTATGTTATTTATCATGATATTTATCAAATATGGTTATATATTGAGAAAAATATATATTTAATTATAAAAGAGAATTTAAATAATAAACACTCAAAAGTATCGAAAACTGGTACCGTTAAGTACCGGTATCGATTCCTAGGTACCGGTAATTAGTACCGAATCGATTCAAATGTCAAAGGTACCCATCCCTAATATATATACATACAAACTGATATATATATATATATATATATATACAGATAGATAGATAGACATATGCATGCATGCATATGTCTATCTATCTATCTGTATGTATATATATATATATATATATATATATATATATATATATATATATACAGATAGATAGATAGACATATGCATGCATGCATACACCTTTTCCCCCTTTTCTTTCCCTCCCCCTCCCCTCTTCCCTCACTTGTTTATGTAACAGATCTATATGATTTCAGCATTTAAATTTTGATTCAGTTTTTTAAAAGAAAATATTGTTTTTGCATCTTTGATTTTTGTACTCAATTGATTCAATATTTTTACTCCATATGTTGCGATACAATACTTCTTTACAATGAACCTGTGCCTAGGTATTATAAAAAGTTTGTGTCCTTTTACTTTATGTTTACTTTGTCTTTTTATAAATCTTTTATTTAAACTTGCAGGAAGGTATTTATTTGTTTGCATTGTATATACATTTTAAGATATAGTCCACTAGGTCATACAATTTTAATATTTAAAATTTAATAAATAATGGGTTCCCTAAATTCCAGCAAAAAGATAGTAATAAAATTATGAAAAAAATAAAAATACACAAAAGTTTAACTATCAAACCACATGCTAAAGCATCATATATGATTGTCATTCTTCCTTCATGTCAAAGGAGTAGGAAGAAGCTTACATGTACATTTTTAAGGTCCTAGTGGATTCATTTTTTGGCTACTTTTGCGTAATGCTTGTAAATAATTGTTTTTATAATGTAAAAAGTCTGCACTCTTGTAACTTGGCAATGGACCAGATAGAAGCTGGCATCACCGCCAAAGCGTTCGTGTTACCAGTGTTTAGAAGATTAAATAGATGTTTGAATGTGCCGTTGACCAAGATGGCATTGGCCTTCATCAAGAGCAGTCTAAACCTGCACCAAAATGTAATGAGGTTTCCCCCACATTTCACCTTCTCTCCTAGTCAGATGCAGATTAGCTTTGTGACTGATGACCAATTTTACTCATAAACACACAAGCAAATTACCTTTGGTGAAGGATACACATTTTATTGTCTCAGAATGTAAGAAAACCTCATTCACTTCCTGTTTCCTCTGTCTTAGAGATCTTAACTTCAACAACCTGATGGAGTTTCCCAAAGCGATACAGGCTTTGTCCAAACTAAAGGAGCTGTACGTATACCGCTTCGAACATCAAATATGTGTGAAAATAGGACAAATGTATTAATGTATACAGATTTACTTGAGCTATAAATCATATATTTATTCTTAGCACGTTTGCTTGATAAATTATATAATTTTATTTATTCGGCTAGCCTTCATCTTTCTAACTTTTGGGATATTCCTCCTGCAGCGGGTTCCACAGCAACAATATTGCTTCCATACCTGAAGGGGCCTTCCACAACAACCCTCTGCTACGGACCATGTAAGGTCACGCTCTCAATAAGTCGACATATTCGATTAGATTCTGAAGGACAAAAGTTTGAGGCTTCACAAAATAAATGTCCAGAGGATGGCGTCATACATGCACAATGACTCATGCTCAGTTTCTCTGTTTCTGCCCTCTCAGACATCTCTATGACAACCCCCTATCGTTTGTGGGTGCCTCGGCTTTCCAGAACCTTTCAGACCTGCACTCTCTGTAAGTCTCACTATGAGGACCAGCTCAGGTTCCGTTTGGACCTCTTTGGCCAGCAGTGATAAATAAAAACAAAGTATATGTGTTTTAAATCACAACATTCTTCCAACTCGTGCTTTGTTGTTTACTAGTGATGTTTTCTTCTTGTTGCGTGTGCGTTTTAGGATGTTGCGTGGAGCCAGTATGATGCAGGACTTCCCCATCCTTACGTGGACTAATAATCTGGAGAGTCTGTGAGTAGATCTGGATTCTATTGTTTTTTTCTGCTTGTGCTTCTACTTTTGTGAGAAGTTAAGATTATTTTCTTTAATCTGCAGAACCCTCTCGGGAACCAAGATATCATCCATACCTTCAGACTTGTGTGAAGATCTCAAGTTGCTCCGGACGCTGTAAGAGACGTGTTTAGATGGTAGACATAATATTAGCTCATTGGCTCAGAGCAGGTTCAGGTCACCCTTCTAGAAGAGACTTTGGTCTCAATGGGTTCTGCCTGGTTCAATAAAGTAAAACAGATCCAACGTGTGCTGTGTTGATCTAGACAAATCTCTTCATCCGTGTCTAAAGTTCAAATTGAAACAGTTTGAAACAATATTATTCGTAGGCGCCATGTGTGTGAAAAATTATGATTTAATAGCAACATTTTAGGTCATAATACCCTCAGATTGTTTTTGAAGGTAAAAAGAAATGATGAATACTTACGTTTGTATGAACATCAGATCATTTAGACTTTTACTGGAAAAGCTGTCTTTTAGAGTTTACAGATATAGCAGATTTACGTATATTTTCTTAACTTGCAAGAAAAAGGGACTGCTTTTTATTTTTAAAGAAAATTGAAGAAGTGACCATTTAATAATACCATATTTATTTGATTAAATCTCTTTTAAAGGGGTACTATGCATCTTTAATATTTTTGAATCAATATCCTGAGCCAGCATGTGCTCAAATGACCCTTTATTGGTTTATTAAAATGTCATTTAGACCCCACTGCCCCCTATGGCCAGGATATCGGACTTGCAACTTCAGAGTGGCTGGTCCAGTCCCTGCTGGTGGGGGGAGCTGACATACCTGGCGCTACAGTCTGCTTCCAGCACATTTCCTGCATGTTTTAGATCATGAACGCAGCTGATTTGCTTAATTTGGTCATGAATCACTCCTGCAGACACTAATGAAGGCTGGGGAGACATTTCAGCTGTTAGATTAAGGTAGGGTGACCATACGTCCTCTTTCCCCCGGACATGTCCACTTTTCACTCTCTGTCCGGGGGGTTTCCTACATTGATCAAATGTCCGGTTTTTCATCCAGGAGCATGGATCAAGTTAGGATTAGGGCTAGATATATTTCAGAGAAAGATCCAGTTTCTGTCTATATTACAATATTTATGGACTCAGCGTAGCGGGATTCTGTTGAGCAGAGAGGAAGCAGAGTGCTGATCATTGGTGCGCCTGCTGCGTCCGGCGCATGGTACATTCTCACAGTGGTGCAACAAAGCATTATTAACTCATTCGCTGCCAGCCGTTTCCTGATCGGTAAAGCCCTTCGCTGCCAGCGTTTTTACTGTTTTTAAGACTCACAGAACGTTGCGCGCTAGGATGATGTTGACGCCAAAACAACCAAAACAAAGCAGAGACTCACCTCTTACATCAGGAAGAATCCGCGCGTTTCGAGCTTTATCCGTTCTTTCATAATCCGTTGTCGAATTGTGATCGGCAGAAGCTTTTCCGGTTCGCACCTCACTTTTTTTACAGCAGCAGCCCAAAACGATCTCCTAACACATGGAGTTTTTGCTTCCTGATTACGTGACGTGTGACGTATGCAGATGAAGACCGGCTTTAGAGCTGAGATGTTTGTTCTCACGGCTCGTTCCGATGCCCACACAGTAAAAAAATGCAAATGATGACTTTAGTCATCCTCTGTGTAATTCCTACCCTGCCCAGAAGTGTTAATTATACAGTGTTTGTAAAAACACCTCAGACATCACTGGCATGTTCTAATATTGTCCGACGAAAAACAAAATTGTCGGACACGCCATCTCATCTGCTTCTTTTCTAAACTCACACAAATCTGTCAGTAACAAAACCATTTGAAAGCCACATTTTGCAGATTCTCTGAAAGTTTCCATGGAGTCCATGACAAACAGTTTTTTCATTGACCTTATTGTCTAATCTCATAGCTGAAACAAGCATCCTTAATAATCTGTGCACAGGAAGCTTTACTGATGCTGTAGTAAAACAAAAGGCATAATAATTTCTTATTAAAAAAACCGTTGTTGCAGCACTAAAGCAGAAGAAAATTTAGATTTTGCAATAAATATGCAAAATATTTACCTATGAATTGTTCTAGAGCCCTGTTATTGTCAGAACCTGATATTAATTTTAGCTCTCACACCTGGAAAAAAATGGATCCCAACATGGTTTGTGTGGTGTTGCCTTAGTGTGATGTCATCAGTAGGCACATATCTCCTGTCCTCTTTTTTGGAAATGGAAATATGTTCACCCTAGATTAAGGTGTTAAAAAGACGAACGCACAGCAAAGACATACGTTTCAATTTTGGTTTAATCACACATAATTAATAACGGGCACTAGGGGGTGCTAAAAGCAAGCAAAGCTGCCTGGTATTCCTTTAACATTATTGTTTTAGTTAGTTTTATTATTTATGCTAACATATTTCTGAGTGTTCTAGTCTAATTGACATTTATGTATTCTCTAGAATGGACATCTTCCCGTGCATTAAACTTGATCTGCATTTATATTTATATCTAATTGATCAAGTTGATGAAAAGGAAAACAAGAGGACAACAGAGACTTTGGATGTAGCACCTATGCTAACCATATACACGGTTTTGCCTGCTATTGAAGTAGTCCTGTTTATCTTTTTTCCCCTCAGTGATCTGTCCTACAATGAGATAAAAGAGCTGCCGTCCTTCCAGGGCTGCAGCCTCCTGCAGGAGATGTGAGTGTTTAGTAGCTTCAAAGAGATTTTTGGCTGGTTAAAAATGAGTGGAATAAACATTTATGAAAGCAGGTAAATATGTGATTTTCTTAAATCTACCATTTAAATCTGCAGAAGCATTCAGCACAACAAAATTCAACAGATCGACAGGGACACTTTCCGAGGTCTCTTTGCTCTCCGATTGCTGTAAGCGACACAAGCTCATGAACACAAACCGGATACGATCAACTCAAATGTCTTATTCCTGGAGTTGGTTTTGTGTTGTTTAACAGAGACGTGAGCAGGAATGAAATCCAAACGATCCACAAAGATGCTTTCCTCACCCTAACTTCACTCGCCAACGTGTGAGTAGAAGATGTCATCTAAACGAGAGTAAAGTTCCTGCTGCAGGTCACTTCTGTTGAAACGTAACAGCTTTGGTGTTTTTTCAGAGATCTGAGTATGAACTCACTGACTGGGATTCCAACAGCTGGGCTGAGCGCCGTCAGTCAGCTAAAACTTTCAGGGAATCCTTGGATGAAAAATGTGCTCAGTGCAAAAAGCCTGCCAAAACTCAGGTGAGGAAGAAGCTGATGTTGGCCTTAGCTTGTTGGAGGTTATTCAAATGTTAGTTTTTTGCTGATCGTGAACAAAAGCATCTCTGGTTTGATCTTGTTTCTTTGTTGCATGGCCTCAACTCTGTTCAGTTTTTATAACATGAGGTAAAACTCAAAATGCACATTTCCTGTGATGTTCATTTAACATATTAACAGAAATATAGCTCATATATAGAAAACAATGATGAGTATAGTGTTAAAATAAAGAGATGTGCGGATCACATGAAGACCACACAAAGCTGCAGATCCAGAGTCCATGAAGGAGTTTACAGCGTGACGAAGATCTGTGTGGCTGACGCAGATAATGCAGGAAATAGGGGTAGAAGACAACTTTTACATTCAGCCTGCATGTTAAAATCATATTTAACTTTTTTTTTAAATTGCTTCGGCACACGAAGCAAGTGGGGGGAGGTTCCGTTTGGAGATGATTCGGACCTAAAGAGCTCAGCAGAGCTGTGTGTCGCGTGCCAGTGTTAAACTATTTTCTGCAACCATCAGATGCTGTAAATGTCCTAGATAACTGCCTATTCCAGTTTGTGAAAACAAAGTTAAGATCCTACAGGACTGACAAGCTAACAACTAGTCTGACCACAGCCAAGAGCGGAGTGTATTCTAGCTGACAGCTGCAGTCTCTCGATCCAATCTCTTACAGCATTTCAGAAACATTAACATGGCCTTCAATCTTGTACTACATGGTTATTTACAAGCATAAATCTCATGAGCAGAAGCTAAATGAAGCTTTTGTAGTTTATCAATGGGTCAAGTTCAGGGCAGCATCATTATGTTCTGATCTTGCCTCCACCAAGCCTAGCTCATCGATATTATGGGGTACAAATACGGGCCATCCAGGAAGCGGTAAGGTAGTGCTTATTTAGCTTTTACACAGAAACACTTTAAAAAAGGCGGACAAATAACTTTTGGGTGTTTTACTAACAACTGCATAGTAACAACAACACAAAGGACACATGAAAAATACTAATAACCCACAGGTAACAGTCAACATGTTTACAGGATATAATGGCATTCATTTTTCAAACGGTTACAGTGATGGTGTGTTATGGGGAGGCAGACCACTTTGATCTCATAAGTACCAAAAACTCCCAAAATGATGCAGAAAATGTAAACTCACAACTCTGGAAACACACATGGTGTAGAAAGACAGAATAAGACTCTGTGTGTTCTGTGTCTAATGCTACAGACGGACAAATCTGCTATCTATGGAAACATCCACGTGTTATTAAAACAGTCAGAAAGGCCAAATATGTGCAGAAACACATTTATCTACTTCTCTGGAGTGGGAAAAAAAATCCTGCGCGGTGATCAACAGCTGGACTCTTCACAGGCTCTTTAAATAAATGCTGTTTGTTTCGCAGGTCCCTCTCTGTCCCTTACGCCTACCAGTGTTGTGCTTTCGTTGGATCTGAGGAAACTCACATGAAGAAATACACAGGTGCAAAGGCTCTGCTGACCTCTCTTTTCTTGGAACGGAGTGGTCTTCTTTCCCAGAAGATGTTGATGTAGATTATCATTCATCCAGGAAATTGCAATCCAAAGGAGAAAAGAAATTTACATTTGTTTAGATTTCCTCTTAGTGAGTTTGTTTTCTGAGAAATCCCAACAGTTTAAGTAAAAAAAAAAAAAGAAAAAGTAAAGCTACCTGTTTACTTTCTTGGCTAGTTTAGCTCATAACATTCATATTTAGCTGTTATTTATATTTGAAAAAAGCAAACAAGATTTGAGAAAGTGTAGAACATGACCTTGTTTTTGTTGATTACAGTATTTATTTATTTATTTGGGACAGTTAGCAAAGATTGCTCTTCTTACGTTTGTGCTTATTGCATCATCCCTTTAGGTGGAGACGATGGGGAACAAATCTCTATGATTTTGCATTGTTCTCCTTCACCAGGTAAACAGCTATTTACAGGTCTGATCACGTTTCTGTGTCTCACGAGATTTGAATTTCCGCCTAATTTTAAAGCTGCTGTTTCTCTCCCCAGGAGCTTTTAAGCCTTGTGAGCACCTCCTGGGTAACTGGATGATTCGCCTGACTGTTTGGTTCATCTGCCTGGTGTCGCTGGTCTTTAACAGCCTGGTTCTGGTGGCCACCTTCTCTCCTGTTCACCGGGCAGCGGGTCGTTCGCACTACCTGTCTCCGTCTCTCTCCCCAGCCCGGCTCCTGATGGGCCTTCTAGCCCTGGCCAACCTGCTCACAGGCTTATACGTGGGCGTGCTGACCGTGCTCGACGCTGCTACGTGGGGCTCCTTCGCAGAGTTCGGGGTGTGGTGGGAGACGGGCCCCGGCTGTCGGATCACAGGAGCGCTCGCTGTGTTTTCCTCAGAGTGGTCAGTCTTGTTGCTGTCGCTGGCGGCCGTGGAGCGAAGCATCGCCGTGCGGATGATTCTGGGTAAAGCGGTGATTTCTTCCAGGAGGAGCGGCAGCAACCATCGCAGATGTTTGAGAGGAAACCGACGCTTCAGCCTGGCAGCGGCGCTGCTGGGGCTGCTGGCTGCTGCTGGAGCCTGCCTTCCTTTGCTGTCCTTCAGCGATCAGTCCTCGTCCCCTTTGTGCCTGCCGTTTGCCGGAGGGGAGAGTCCAGCTTTGAGTGTCACTGTCATTCTGGTTCTGCTCAACGCTCTGGTCTACCTGTTCACAGCTGCAGTCTATACCCAGCTGTACTGCCGCCTCGGCAGGGTGGAGCTGGCAGATCCGGGACAAACAGGCGCCCTGCGTCATGTAGCCTGGCTCATCTTCACCAACTGCATCTTCTTCTGTCCGGTGGCGGCTTTCTCCTTCACGCCTCTCCTAACTGGCTCTTCGGCCGGCGGCCCAGAGATCGCTAAGTCTGTCACGTTGATCTTCTTTCCGCTGCCTGCGTGCCTCAACCCGGTGCTGTACGTGTTTTTCAGCCCGGCTTTTAGAGAGGACTGGTTGAGGCTACGCGGCCGTGGAGGTTTAAGCCGGCAGATGAAGCCAGGAGCAGAAAGTCATCGTGATGATGGCGGCGGCGGTTCAGAGCTCACAGACGAAGGCTCCTCCGCCTACCTGACCTATGACTGTGGCGTGTACTCGCAGCTGTGTGGAGAGACAGTGTGTGAACAGTGCGAGGCGGCGCTGCGAGCCCAGACCTGCTCTTCCCCCTCATCTTCCACAGTCTGCAGACATTTGATTAAGTCTCACAGCTGTCCCACCCTCCTGGCGGGAGCGGCCGTTTGCCAGCGCACCGAGGGGTTCTGGGCAGACAGCGGCACACCCTCAGCCCAGTCGGAGTGCGCCGATGAGGGGGACTCCTTTGTGTCGGACAGTTCGGATCAGGTCCAAGCCTGCGGCAGAGCCTGCTTCTGCCAGAGCAGAGGACTTCCTCTGGTCCACTACTCATACAACTTACCTCAAGCCAAGGACTAAGGAGGCCAGACCGCTCCGTCATGTGAATTTAGATTCTCCAAGATTAACTATATTTTTATATATCAAGTCAAAAATGTGCCAACTGTCCTGCAATTCATCAAGCACTTACGTGTTAATTACTGTTAACAAACACAATAGCTGATCACTTAAAGGGAAGTGGGCTTGTAGAGCTGAGTAATCATATTTAAATGGAATGAACTAGAGGTTGAAACCGCTCCAGAAAAGGAAAACCCGGCCATCGGTGCCGCCTGCTCACCCGTCTCTTTGAGTCTGTCGTCTGTACTCATAAGCCTTTTAAATGCATTACCTGTCAAATTTGAAAGTTTCATCACAGAAGCTTGATTTTATACTTTGATTTATTTTTATTTTTACATCTATAAATGTAGCAAATGTAATGATCACTCTAGACTTTGTATGAATGTAAGTTTAAGGTGGACTTCACCCAGTGGGTAAAATAATCCGACGTCAGCGTTTCTCCTACATGTGATAATCGCTGCTGACGTGGTCTGTAGTAAACATGTTTGTGATTTAGAGTTCCTGAGACTAAGAATGTGATACAAGTAGCTGGCATCACTGTTTAACGGAAACTGTTATTTATTGTTCGGTTGGAGATGATTTCAGGTGAAAGAGGTGGTGTCTGAATGATACATCCACAAATCACAGCGCAAGTTTTCACAGAGAGCGTGTCTCTCTTTATTTATGACTCGTCATGTTTCTGTGTGCAGTTCTATATGCATGATGGTAACAAAATAGGAGAAAAAGGCCTGAGACAAACTTAATTAGCTAAGTATCTACGTTTCCTTTCAACTCTTGCTAAATGTTTTCCGTTTAGTACATTTTTCTTTCTAACGTTGGTTTGGTGAAGGAGCATTCTAGATCTGCGACGTAAATAAAGCTAGCTGTGTTTTCATCCTGAGAGCCGACCCTGGGTCAGACTGACGGATGTTCGGAGCGCTGGAGCATGACTGCACACTTTGAGGCGGTTCTGCCCTCGGAGCATGTATGTGCACGTCTTCAGGAATTCAGATGACGTAGGAAACGTTTTAACAGACAGGTTCTCTTTTTAGGTTGACTTCATTTGAAAGGTGTCTTGGTACAACCTAAATGTCTGGTGTCCAAATCGGTGAACAATGTACAAACAGCTTTGATTGAGTATTCTTTTTTATGTAAATTATTTGAAAAGAAAACAAGGACTGGAGAGTGGGATGCTAACTTAGGAAGCTACCTCCTGGAGTGTAGCGGCTGCCAGCAGTGCTTTAGAAGAGCATTTCTGTTTGTTGGTCCTTGGCTTTATGTTGAAATATGAGGCCGGACATCATTTTGGTTCTGTTCAAATTCTGGGAGGAATCTATGTACTGTATACTGTGATTTATTTTTTTAACCAAGCCCTAAACTATGAATTTTTTTTGTTGTAACTTTTATAAATACAGAATTGCAGAATATGTATTATATAAAATATTTCAAAGAAAATTTCAGTTTGAATTCAGTCTTGTGTAGTTTTTGTGTCAAATATGTCATTGTTTTCTGTTCAAGTAGAAAATCTATTCTTTTTATTTGTGAATGAATAAAATTGAAAGAATGTAAACATTGTGCTGATCTTGGTACAGCTTAATGGACGCTCTATTAATGTTACTTGGTGCATTATTAAGCATTAATAAACAAATGGTCCTTTTATTAACATTGCTGGTATTGTTAAAATGGCAGGGTGTAGTTTTCTGGCGCTAGGGGGCAGTATGTACGTCTCAGGGTAGCCGTGACTGCTGCTAGTTTAAAAAACTTTACAGTAAATGTTACCTGTGGAGCAGAAAGCATGCAGCCTCAGACTTTATGGTCCTTCGGTGAATTCCAGCAAGACAATACAATGCTGGTTGTAGTTTCTGGATCTGCTCAGGGACCATGCTTCTGCCGATGACGTCATCATACTATACGACAATACCACTTGGCCAAAATATATTGCATCTCGTTTTCAATTCGGTTCTTTCACATATGTTTTGGAAAAAGTTCAACAGTTTTGTTATTCAATGTTTTTGAATGTGGTAAAGTCATATCCAGCCATCTAGTGTGACAACATCGACAGGCGCAGGACCCCGATCCAGCCAGAAGAAAACATGGCGCCTAAATGGCGTCCCCCCAAAGACGTCAGACCCATGCCTTTTGTACTTAAGACCCGATTTTTATGGTTATATGGTCGAAGCCGCTAGTATTTTTCAATAATTGGACATCATTGCATTCATGTTCAACAGTGTTTCGCTGGATATTTCCAGGGATTAAAGGTACAAACACACTGTCTCTTTAACTGTTAAGTGTCCTTAAAGTAAGGGGGGGGGGGGGGGGGGGGTTGCTTAGTGCATTATATAATATGGTTAAGCAGTTGATAATAATTTATGAAAAAGTTTATTAATGCTTAATTATAAGCTAAATAGTGTTAATAAAGGGGCCCTTACTGTGAAGGGTTACCCTGTTACTTTATCACAGGCTAAAGGTTTAGTAATAAACCTGTGTTGTCAAGACAACCGATAGCTGCACGCAGAGAAGACTGGAGACATTTACTGTTGCAGCATCAAAGGAATACCTGAGTGTTGCTACACCATCCCCCCCACCCCACCCCCACACACATACACACAAACAGCCTGCTGCATCCTGCAGATTACAAACATGCCTCACACATCAGGCATTACCGAGGCTTAGACACATTAAAATAAGCCTTCAGCCACTTCTGCTCACTCGTCTGGATTCAAGCGTTATGCATAAAATAAAGTCCACCAGTAAATCCAGCAGGTTTATTCTTGTTTTAACACACAAACTAATGCACACACCTGAGAATCAGAACAGCAAACACTAATATGCATTTCGTCATTTAAAAGAGCAACAACAAAAAAGCTTACCTAAAAAAAATGTTAGTTTTTATCAATAAAGGACAGTACATTCAGTTTCTGAAAGGATCGTTTATTAATGTCTGCGATGCAGCTGAAAAGAGTCCCACGCCACAAAAGAACCGGAGTCCAATCCATTTCCTTTTCGTTTACACAAAGAACTTCTTATTTCTGGGCATCTTTCTTTTCTTCCTTTGCAATCTGAGCTGAAAAGAAAAGACACCAAAGTAATACAATATGAAAAAAATGGACTAGAGTATTGGAGGAAAGTGAGTGTTTTCCCCCACTGGGTTTAAACAAAAAGCAAATGTAAAAATGGAAGTGACAGAAACAAATGATGGTGTTTTCTACAGTGTGTGATGGAGTTGGAGAGGGGACAGGGAGGGAGACTTACGACGAACTTCCAGTTTACACTCCACCATGTCCTCCCCCATGTCGTTCACAGCTTTGCATGTGTACACCCCCCCGTCGAACGGACAGGGCTTACGGATCTCCAGCGTCAGAACGCCCTGCTTACTCAGCATCCGGTACTTGGCTTCATTGGAGATGTCCATTTTGTTCTTGTACCAGGTCACTTTGGGCTAACAGGGCAGGGCTAAGTATTAGTGATGTGAAAGATTTGATTATGTTTGCTGGAGCGGTGTGGGGGGAGGGTGGGGGTACCTTTGGGATTCCTCTCACGGCACAGCTGAGGGTGGCGTTGTACCCTGCTATTATGGACCGATCCACCAAAGACTGAGTGAACTTCGGAGCCTCTGAGAAGTTGTGCTTCTTGTAGGTGGGGGACTTGTAGGAGATACCTGATTAGGATCATTGATTAAAGAAGTTATTTTTATTCTGAAACTCTTTTGTATATTTTTATGTGCAGGATGGAGCCCACCTGTTTTTTGTATGAACACACTGTCCTTTGTGGTGATGGGATCTGGACTGAGGCCCACCAGGTTGATGGAAAAAACCCGGAAGATGTACTCATTCCCCATGATGAGGTCGGACACCACACAGTGTGTTCGTCGGTAGTGATCGTGGACCGTGTACCACTCCTGGGAAATCATCACAGAAAATACTTGAATGTTTAACAGTTTCTTCCTTTTATTTCTTAGTACTTTCGCTTCCAACGAGGCAGAAAGTATCTGTAGGCTTTCTGAAAGCTTTTTCTTTGGTCTTTTTCAGGCATTTGCTGTTGATTTGCTGACCATGACCATATTAGGTCATGTGTCCATAGGAAATCCAAAACAGAATTTGATCAGCTGATCCATGTCCTTGTTTGTGTAGACGTGCTACTTTATGTGTCAAACTGTTATGTTTGGTACTTTTCATGAAGAAACAGAGTCATAAAGGGCCAAAGTGCTTGAACATCTTACTTTTGACAAATTTATTTAGGTTTTTGAAACAACAAATGGTGCTATAAAGAAAAGATACTTAAAGAGCCAAAAGTTAAGCATTTATTCAGTCTTGACATTCAAACATCCTGGAACGTGAGTGGTACTCCAACAATAATCTTTGTTGGATTCCTCTCATCCAACAAGGACGTTAGCAGCTTAGGCTAGCATTAGCAAGGCTGCTAACTCTCGCTCAGGCTAGCTTTGAAACCAACAATGACCTCCTAAACAAGACTAAATAGAACCCATTGTTTGTGAGCTTTAATTAAATCGTGTCAACATCTCCCCTCCTTCATAACAAGAAACTAAAGGAGTTGTTTCTGCTCCCAGTTCAAATCTCTGGAACAGGAACGAAACAGGATCCATGCAGAGCTAAAGTACGTTTACCCTCAGAACCTTTATCTCTGACACGTAACAGGCAGGCTGTTATTGGTAACATGATAATCAGCATCTCAATGCCTACTACTAAGTCAAATTAATTTGAGGTAATAATGACTCCAGTGAAACCTGAACTGTGAGCCACGCTGGCTGGGGAACAATGCATTACTGCACAGACGGTCCAGACCAGGTCACGGCTGCAGAGAGGACATTGGGACATTCCTCTGCAGGCGTTGTTCTTGGCAGCTCGAGGTGGAGGACGGTGACAGTTTTAGGGCTCAACAACTTCATGATGCATCACTACTCTGACATCAGGAGCAGACTGCATGTTCTGCATCTGGTAATTTACTGAATACATGTCAAAGGTCAGACTAAAATATCATGGCAGCTTTTGACCTCACACAGGCTCAGTAGAAACCAGAATTTAAACTGAAATCAATGAAAAACGTCCTAATCTAGAAAATGATTTTATTTTGTCCCCAAAACCAAATGAACTGAAGTGCTTCAAAAACTGAAAAGATTCTCATGTTTGTATGAAAATAAACTGTTTCCTAGTTCTTTTTTCTTTAAGTTTTTTATTGACTTATTTAAAATATTAGTTTTTTATTGAGTTTGGTTTAAATACAACTCCTGGAGGTTGCATCAAGCAAGCATTTAGCGACAGTGGAAAGGAAAACTTCCTATTAACAGGAAGAAACCTCCAGAGGATCCTGGCTCAGTATAAGCAGCCATCACACACACACACACACACACACACACACACACACACACATACACACACACACACACACACACACACACACACACACACACACACACACACACACAGATTTTTGAAAACAACACAGTCTACAGGAAATGAGATAAATACTAGTTGTCAACAAGCCCCCACAATGCGGGTGAAAAATGGAGGAAATCCCGGAAGTGAAATAAATTGCAGTTTCCACCCTCATCCACTGGGGGCCGGTGTCAGAATCGAGACAATCCTCATTGACCCCCATGTTAAAAATACCAATTTCACAGCAGAAATAAACATGTTTACAGCCTGGTACCAAAACATGTTTTTCTTTAAATGATCTAGTTTACACTCATGACAACTCTGAGGGGGGTGAATTTTTTTCTCACTCTTCTGTTTAAGTGTATTAAAAGCCTAAAATTCTGTATAGGTAATGAGCATCAGACCCTCGTGACTACAGAGCTCGCTCCGGGGAAAGGCCTCAGTAGAGCCTCGGCCTCGCCTGAAAACTGTTCGGTCATTTTCAGTCTCTCAACTTAGACCATTAGTTGTAGCGTTTGTGCGTTCTATTTTGGATATTATTTGTGCAATTGTTGGACAAAATGACTTGCTGTGGCATTAATTGCACTAATAGAGCGCCCAAGGAGTCTCCACTTCATTTTTTTTCGGTAAGTAAAATTATATTCATGTATTTTAGGTCACTGCCGAGCTGAGCTTAGATTTTAACATGTACTGTTTAACCATGAAATTTAAATGTAATAGGGTAAAACCCAGTGCATTTAACATGATGCTGCACTTTAGAAAATGGGTTTAAATATAACATGTTGGTGGAGCTGGGTTCCGACTATCGGCTTGTGGAGCTCTCGGGAGACCGATGTTTTCCACCCGTTCTCGCCTCCCCGCAGCTCAGTGCATCTCTGTCTGATCGCGGCTCCTGTCTGCGGCGCGGGCTGCCGGCTTGCAGAGCTCTGCGATGGAAACCTTTCTACCCGGTTCTCCACAGCGGCAGCTCTGCACATCTCAGATCGCAGCGACGCTTGTCTGCTGTGCGGCTGCCGGCTTGTGGAGGTCTCGGGAGACCTCTGTGTTCCACCCGGTTTTAACCAGCGGTCAGCCCGGCGTATCTCTGACTCAGAAGCTCTGGTGTTGTGCACAAACTCCGGTTGTAGCTAGGTTGCTAACTCCGTTAGCTTTGCTCCCACCTCCACGTTAGCTTTGGGTTAGCTTCAGTTTAGCTTGTAGCTAGTTCGACCGGGTGTCGTCAGTTGATCCCAGCCTTACAGCCCCACCCTCAGCTCCACCTCTCTTCCCTTTTGTGGAATTGTCTGGGCTTGACGAAACCTGTGACACGGTCAATATGGCGGTGGTGGCCACCTCCCATTTTTCTTCAAAAACATGTTATTGGAGCCTATAAACCCATTGTCCAATATTTATATGTCGATGGTTGTCAAGAATAAAGGTTAGTCTGTAATGTGCCTGATTAGAAAATTAAAAAAGGGACTCCTGCTGTTTAATCTGAATAAAAAATGCCATTTTTGTTATTTAGGACATTTTTAAAGGTTGCCTTGTTTATTTGTATTTGTACATATTTGCTTTCAGACAAAACAAAACATTGCTGCATAAAAAAGTGTACTTGTTTTAAAAGCAGCAGAACTAACATGCACAGACTCACCATGGTTTTTTTGTCAGCTTTCTGAACGGTGTAGCCACTGATCTCACAGTTTCCATCGTCAACTGGTGGTTTCCACTCAAGAGCCACATTAAAACCCCAAATGTCCACAATCTTCAGAGCCTCAGGGGGCCCTGGGAGATCTACAGAGAGGAAATGGTGTTGAGGCGTTACCATAGTGATTGTGAGGATGTGTGTTCAGTACTTACCAACAATCTGAATCAGGACTCTGGCTGTATCTTCCACGTTCTCAATCTGCACCTGCAGATCATACTGCCCCGAGTGTTTTCTCTCCGTTTTACGAATGAAGAGGATCGTATCTGTCTCGCTGTTCCTCAAACTCGCAAAAGAAGAGTCCAGAGGTGTTCCATCTTTAGTCCAGATAACTTTTGGTCTGGGCTTACCCTGCACACCAAGAGAAGACCAAATTCAGCAGAAAAGATGTTGAATTTTAGATTAAACAAAAGTAACTTTTAAACATTCAACTGATTAATATTCATTATACCGAATTACTATTTTGTTAACTGGTTACTGAATTTAAAGGGGCATTATGGAAGTTAGACAGCCAAAACATGTATAGAAATAATAAATTTCTTCTTCATACATTCTCCTGCAATGCCCTGGTCCTGTAGAATGAGCCCTGGCATTTTTACTGTGATTGCCTGTTTTTCTGTAAAATCACAGAAAAAGAGAGCTGCTCGGGTCGAGCAGGCTGCTTCATGCGCGTTCACGCTCAGGCATCGCCCTCCGAACCATTCGTTGAAGTTGTTTCAGCTGTCATCAAGGATATAAATGTTACAGATACAGAGGATGCTACTGACGGTTTAGCTCGCCTTGTAAGATTATGGGCTTTCATGCAGAAGACCCGGGTGCAATTCTGGATGAGAACACGGTTTATTTGGAGTTTAATTTTTACATTAATGGTATATTTTTTTACAGTAAGATGCCCACATTTTTATTTGAGACTCGCCGAACGGCATTGAATTCACAGATAAAAAAGATGTGGGTTCAACTTTCATTTTGGAACAATTTTTCAAACAAGGGAAGGGAATGATCTGAGCATGCAGGAGGACTGACCCGCGTCAGCTTCACAGAGTCTCAGCTGTTTTTTTTGTTAAGGAGTGTGCACATACAGCATGCGCGCCTCGTGCACGAGCCTCCTATTGAAGCTGCCGTTACGCTTTTGGCCTGAGGGGGCAATCGTGAGCATAAAAATTCAAAACTCCGTAAAGTCCCTTTAAGTGCCGAGTACAAAAATCTCCCAAAACCTTTTGGACAATCTACTATGGGGTCTGGTACAAATCCTCTATAAATGCTGGAGTTATGGCAATTTGTTGGTCTGGAGCAAACATGTGTGCAGTAACACAACACCACGGATGTAGTTTTGACTTTAGAAGTGGGGGGATACAACCGGATGGGGTTCGGGTGGGCGGGTGTGTGTGTGTGTGTGTGTGTGTGGGGGGGGGGGGGGGGGGGGGGGGGGGGCTTTACAGAATGTTCTAATGGGAAACAGGCTTCAGCACAGTTTTTTTGTTGCTTTTTCCTAGTGCTCAATCAGTGTCTATTTTATATAGCGTAATATTGTTTTTGGACAGTAAGAAGTGTAGGGGTCAAAAATTGACTTTGGGAAAAGTGGGAGGAGACATGTCCCCCCCTGCCCCCCAAAATTACGTCTATGTGTTCTACAACCCCACGTGTAAATGCCTCCTGATGCTCTGAGATGTGTCAGGTGAAGAACATGTTGAAATTTTGGATGGAAAAAAAAATACTTAGTAATGCTGCCAGATGAACGAAATGTACCTCACCTGGAATGGGATCACAATGTTGACAGTCTCTCCGACTTTCTTGATAAGAGTTTGGCGGAGATATCTTGGAAGCCATATTTTAGGGCGTTCTGTTAAAGAACAAACTGATTGTAAAAAGAAGATACTCTCGAGCAGGGGTAGGCAATCCTGGTCCTGGAGTGCCGCTAGCCAGCATATTTTAGCTCCAACGCACCTAATTGAATTGTTGATTCACCTGTTCAGCAATTTTGTAAGCTCTAGAAGCCTGTTAATCATCTACTGATTTAAATCAGGTGAGTTGGAAGAGGGATAGCACTAAGGCCTAGTCCACATGTAGCCGGGGTTTTTTGAAAACAAATATCCGCCCTTCCAAAAACTTGCATCCACACCACCTCGTTTAAAAAACAAACTCTGTCCACACGTACCCAGATAAATACGTTGTTAAGGACATGCCAGACCTGTAGGCGGCAGTACTTCCCCCGTTCTTAACCTCGTCCTTCGTCTGTGGTCTTCCGCAAGGAGCAGTAATTCCGCTTGCAAAAACAAACAAGCAAAAAGCGCTTGGACAATTGATGGATCGGGTAGTGACAGAGCGCAGCTCTGAAGGCTTCCATGATGCCGGCTAGTGTAAACACAGGTCGCACACGTGATGTCAGCATTTTTTGTCGCGGAAAGTGACGTTGCGGACCTTAAAACTCCGGTTTTGTCTGTCCACACGCAAACACCCAAAACGGAGAAAACGCAGATCTTCACTTTGGCCGGAGTTTTTAAAAAAATCCGTTTTCGTGTGGAAAAAACTCCGTTTTCGTGTGGATGACAGGCCAAAACGTAGAAAAATATCTACGTTTTGGCAGATCCCCGGCTACGTGTGGACAGGGCCTAAAACATGCTGGATAGCGACCAGGACCAGGATTGCCTACCAATGCTCTATAGAGAAGTAGACATGTATAGGACTGGATATGGCAAGTTTATGTGAAGGTACTAATCCTAAAACTTATCTGGATGATTTAAGTCTCCTATAGCAAATTTGCAAACAAGCTAAGCTTTGAACACAATGATGGTCACAAAACGCTCGCCGCTCCTCTCGCCTTTCTTCACTGGTTCCTGGTCCGGCAGAACCGGACACCCGCCTTGCCAAAGGAAACAAGATAGCGCTAAACACCAGTCTTTGTTTTCTAGGTCCAAACATCTTTTATGTTTATGTATTTAGCAGACGCTTTTGTCCAAAGCGACTTACGAGTGATAATCTGCATGTTGCCTTTGAGGCCAACAACAACAATAACAACAACAACTTGACATCAATCATGGAGAGGAGGGAGCAAGGAGTGGACAGTAGAGAGGGGATGGGTGCAGGGAGGGTGCTAGTTTAGAAGATGCTCTCTGAAAAGCAGGGTCTTCAGGAGCTTCTTGAAAATTGAAAAGGAAGCCGCAGTTCTGGTAGTGCTTGGAAGGTCATTCCACATTTGTGGAACGTGACATCAAATGGTGACGTCAAATGGTGTTTTATATAAATGAGCAGAGATCCTCTCACACCGGTGGTGCTCTGTTGCTCAATGTGTGAGTGTGTAATGAATGGAGGACCCAGGGAAGTACGGCGGTTTGGCAAGGCTGACACCCGAATGGTCCAGTGGTTGCTTTTGGTCTGTGCCGTGTCATTGTCGGAGTTTTTAGACAAATGCAAGAGAACCTAGCCTGGCAAGCCATCTTGTGGATTTACACACTAGTATGGGCTCCACTTCGTCTGGACTGGGTTTGGAGTGTTCTCATTTAGGCAGCCTTGGATTTTTCCTCGTGGAACCGGACATCTTTTCAGCCCTCTTCATCTCTTATCTAGAGACGAACTGGTCCACCACGCCGACTGCTGCCTGATTGGCCAGCTACCATTAGGGGGAGCCTCCAGTTGGGGGCCACATCACAGCCGAGCTTCAGACGGCAGGTTTTGGAGTCTTTTTCTTGATGTTTAGACATCTCACCTCTGATTGGATTAGAGCAACGCAACTTTACCACTGACTCTGTTTGCTTTGCAACGTTGATCATCATTCATCTCCACAAATAACAAGTCTGGAGGAGTTCTGCTGTGTGGTGAAGTTGCTAAGGTTAATGGTTAGCAACTACTAGTCAAGATGTTGTCTGCAGTTTCCCTGATGCTAAAACAACAGCCTTCCCCAACATAAGTCAAGATGAGTGAGTCCATGAATGTTAAATGACAGTGTGACGTGGATCTGTCAGGCTTTTCAAATCCCAGAGTTTCACTGTTTCTTTTCTATCAGAAGCTATTCCGGGAGACAGGTGTAGGAGACTGTTTTCGTGATCAGCCTGCATAAAAAACTCACCGTGACCGATTATAATCAGAAAAAAAAAACATTTCAAAAATGGATTTTCAGTGTCTCACACCTTTAATATTTGTTTCTAGTTGAGTTTTAAAACAAACAAACAAACAAACAAAACTTGAGAAAAAGGATCAAATGTCATTTTACTCACGCATAATTTCTCGGATGGTGATTGGCTGAGCCAGAGAGGCTGGAGGACTGGGTCCTGCCATGTTGTAGGCCCGCACGCGGAACAGCAGTTTGTCTCCAGTGGTGAGATTTTTAATAGTCAACGATGTTCTGTCTGTCAGACCCTGGATGGCTGGGATCCATTCATCAGCTGCCACCAGAAAGCACAGCAAATTAAAACGACAGCTTTCTGGCTAAAGCCCAAACTATATCTGCATCTGTTGTATTTAATGAAATAAACATAACACATTCTGACAAATTATCCATGCACATTTCTGGGTGCAAGCTGGGCATTCATTTGTAGAGATCAGACTCGGTGTTCTGCTGTAATTAACTGGTTTTGATGATGCGTGCTATATTAAGCCTTCCTTATCAAAAGCCTGCAGGCAGCCTGGCTCCAGCACTTACTGCCCTCCTTGCAATACTCGACCCCGTAACCCTCGAGCTCCGCGGCGCCGATCCTCTCTGGAGCTCGCCACTTCAACGTGACTGAAGTGTCGCTGACGTCGTCGACGTGCAGTCCGACGGGCTCGCTTGTAGGAGCTGAGGTAGAGGGAGAAGGCAGGAAAATTACTGTTGCAGTCAGTTATAGCAATAATATGATCCATTCAGAATGAATTACACAAGAGGATGAGCATGAGTGGAAATAACTCAAGTAACGTGATTGTGATATTACTAATGGTGCTGCCTTTTGTTTTTACAGCAGAAAGCTGTAAAAAAAACTATTAAATAGTGTCACAACACATTTATATTTATGTGTTTGAACTCTGTTTTGTTCAGGCACCTTCCTTTTGTACGTTAACTGTCAGTATGATGCTTACCTCGACCAGGAAGCTTTGATCTCATTAGACAAATGATGAAACTTAGTTAAATGACTGCATCAGAGACGACTGCTTTAGGTCTAAAACAAAAACGGTGAAGTTTGGTGTTCGTGACGAGATCATTACAAACACATTCAGTGGCACGAGCAATATTCGTCTTTGATAAGGAGTGGCAGTCAGCCTCAGCTTGTGTTTTAAGCTGGAGGATGATTAGCAGTTATCAGTCTCTAAGCCTCTGTGGCCCGTCTGCCCTTCAGACATTGAAATCTGACAGTGACTGAGCTGACCTGAGTTCACAGCCAGGCTGAGCCGAGTGCCCCCATGGGGACTAAACAACTCTGGTTCAATGGCTACCTCCCATGTAATGCTCTCACTACCGAGGTGCCAAAAGAAAACCAGTGATACAGGATCTTCAAACATCCATCCATCCATTTTTGGCCACTTGTCTGGGCAGACAAGGCAAGACAACTTTATTTGTAGAGCACCTTACAACGGTATAGAACCGACCAAAGTGCTTCACAGACATGAAAAACATAAAAACAATACACAACATAAAAATAGCTTATCAAAAGAGATTTAAAACCAGACAGTGAAGAGGCCGATCTAATGATCAAAGGCAGAACATTCCAGAGCCTAGGGCCTGCTGCAGAAAAAGCCCTGTCACCTCTGAGCTTGTGCCTTGTTTTAAGCTTAAGCATAGAGGCCCAGACTTCCCTCTCCTTGGCCACTTGGGCCAGCTCCTCCTGGGGAATCCTAAAGTGTTCCCTGACCAGCTGAGAGACATTGTCCCTCCAGAGTGTCCTGGGTCTTCCTTTAGGTCTCCTCCCGGTTCGACGTGCCCAGAAAACCTCACCAGGGAGGCGTCCAGGTGACATCCTAACTAGATGCCCGAGACACCTCAACTGGCTCCTTTCAACGTGGAGGAGCTTCTCACCTTATCTCTAAGGGAGAACCCAGCCACCCTGTGGAGAAAAGTAATTTCGGTCGCTTGTATCCGTGATCTTGTTCTTTTGGTCACTACCCAAAGCTCATGACCATAGGTGAGGGTAGGATTGTAGATCGACTGGTAAATCAAGAGCTTTGCCTTCTGATTCAGCTCTCTCTTCACCACGACAGACCGGTACAACACCCGCATCACTGCAGATGCACCACCAATCCGCCTATCGATCTCACGCTCCATCTTTCCCTCAATGGTGAACAAGACCCTGAGATACTTAAAGTCCTCCACTTGGGGCAGGACCTCATCCCTGACCCGGAGAAGGCATTCTACTCTTTTCCGAATCAAGACCATGGTCTCAGATTTAGAGGAGCTAATTCTCATCCCAGCTGCTTCACACTCTGCTGCGAACCACTCCAGCGAAAGCTGAAGATCACGTTCTGAGGAAGCCAACAGAACCACATCATCTGCAAAAGCAGAGAGCTGATCCTCAGGCCACCAAAACGGATGCCCTCCACACCTTGGATGCACCTAGAAATCCTGTCCATAAAGGTTATGAACAGAATCAGTGACAAAGGGCAGCCTTGGCAGAGTCCAACTCTCACTGGGAACAAGCCCGACTTACTGTCGCCAATGCGGACCAAGCTCTGATACCGGTCACACAGGGACCTAACAGTACCCCATACTCCCGGAGTACCCCCCACAGGGCCCCCGAGGGACGCGGTCAAACGCCTTCTCCAAATCCACAAAACACATGTAGACTGGTTGGGCAAATTCCCATGCACCGTCCAGGATCCCCCTAAGGGTATAGAGCTGGTCCAGTGTTCCACGGCCAGGACGAAAACCACATTGCTCCTCCTGAATCTGAGGTTCAACAATCCGACAGACCCTCCTCTCCAGAACCTCTGATTAGACCTTACCAGGAAGGCTCAGGAGTGTGATCCCCCTGTAGTTGGAACACACCCTGCGGTCCCCCTTTTTAAATAAGGGAACCACCATCCCGGTCTGCCAGTCCAGTGGGACTGCCACCGATGTCCACGCGATATTGCAGAGCCGCGTAAGTAATTGATTGCTCATTAATGTCCCGAATAAAATAATAAATAAAATAAATCCTGCCTAGAAATCCTGTCCATAAAAGTTATGAACAGATTTTCCAACAGTCCAGACTAAAACAGCCTTGTTTCTGGCAAAATGGAAGGTCGCTAAAGTATTACTAAGACAGAATAGAATGGATTCAGAGGGCTATTTGATGCTTTAGACAAAAAAAAGTATTCTGGTTAAACTCACCTCAAATACTACTACAAAATTAATCTACGATTAATAAATTGTATGGATGCTTGATATTGGCTTTTTTTTTTACTATATCCAATATTGTCTGATTCCTAATATCCAATACTAATATATACTGTCTCCCTCTCATAAAAAATAATAACTAAAACATTTGAGGTTAATAACATCACATACCTCCTATCATTTTTAAATTTTAAACATTTTCTATGCTATACTACAATTTATGTCTCCAACAGGAGCTGACTCTCATTCTCCCTTAGAGGAACGCTAAGATGTGTGTACTAGTTAATCATGTACTCTTCTTTTTCTGTATGTTGCAGTTATGATTATAAAACAAGATTTTCTAACTAACTGGCACAGTGAACTGAACTCAGTTCACTGATAAATAGATTCAATTGGGATGTTTACTTTGTGACGTGCCTTGAGACGACCCTTGTTGTTATCTGGTACCATTTAAATAAACTGAATAGAATTGAAAAGCCCTACGGTGATCTCATTGTTTCATTTAGGTATTATTTTAGCCCCTTGTATATTGTGAAGGTGCTTTACTGCCCTTTGTAGCCTCACCATGCTGCTTCTGCAAAGACGGGCTAAGAATGAAGTGCAAACAAATGACAGGAGTGCATGTCAAAGCTCAAGTGTGAAGAATTTTACTGCTGTGGGGATTTGCTCAAAAGTAGCTCAGGGCACTTCCAAGAACAGGAGGGAATGCTGCAACAACAGCTTTTTTTTGAGAGGTCAAATATAACTTTGAAAACACAACAAATGAACAAACAAATGAAAAAAGCAACAAGATAAACCAACAACTAAAGACTTTCTTTGGAAGACAGCCATCCACCATCTTTCATGCCAGAGATGCTCTTTTGTTTTGCACATTAAAAAAATACAATTCTACAGAGTAAATAGGATTAAAAATAAAGTGAAGGAGGAGGAAAAAGCCAGTAAGGCATATCTTAAGCCTCCACTAATAAAAAATGTGAAATATAAAAATTACAAAAACAATATAATTTAGTATATTAATAATACAAAAATGCAATATCTAGAGTTATTTAATGCCCCTTTGCAATTAAATGTGTTTTAAATGTGTATTTTTTTTATTTCCACTGTCTAGCTCTAAATGACCAGATAAGAACATTAATTCTATGAAGCTAAAACAGGACAGGTCAGATTTAGGTTTAGGTTTTGTAACAAATCCAGTTCGCATAGTAAGAAGTTAAACCTTCATGGATTTTACTGTGAAGAAGTTTCGGTTCAATATAAAGAGTTTGTCTAAAATGCTGGTACGGAGGGTTTAGATTCAAACTACACGATTCACTCGGCCCTACGGAAGCGTAGAAATGCCACCCACGCAAAAATAAATAAACTAAAAAAGTGATATCACGTGATCATTTCATTGGCCTGACAATATACTAATATAATTATATAGTAAGAATATGAATTTATATCTGCAAAAGCGAAAATGTTTTTGTAAGTACAATAAAATTATTACATTAAAATGTGATACTGTTCTAATTTAACTTTGTGGGTGGTAGCTCTAAGCTTCCGTACATATCTGTAGTGGCAACAGCTATGTCCTGTGTGAAAATTTAAACGATTCTAGAAAAAGAAACGTCACAACTTCTGAAAGCTCAGACTGAGAGACCATCTAAAGCAGGGGTCACCAAGAACTATATAAGATGCCCACTGACCTTCTCTCTAAATAGCACTGTCATGATCTGCATCTGCCCCTTCCCTCATGTGTCTCCTCTGTGTTCTCCATCCGTCTCTAGATTCTCCTTTTGTGTCTCCTAGCGCCCTCATGTGTCCTTGTCTGCGTCTTCCTCATGTGTTCCCAGAGCTGCAGCCCCTCTAGGTCCCCCCCAGGTATCTCCCTCCAGGTCCTGTGCTCCCCATGGTCCTCCTTAGTCACGCCCCTGTAGTGTCTCTTTCTGAAGTGTTTTCCTTTAGTTTCAGCTGTTCATCTATTAGTCTCTTTTGGTGTGTTTCTTTCCCCAGATTATTAATTAGTTATTTTGCTTTTAGCGTCTTTCCTTCCCCAGATTGTTAGTTATTTTGCTCTTCTTGTTTTTAGGTTATGTCTTAGATCATGTTATTTTTCTTCCTCCTCAACTCACTGCCCTCTCCCTGATCAATAATTGAGTTCACCTGTTCTCTCTCTCCCCACAAACCTGCAGTTCATCTCCCTCTCATCCTCCCCAGTGTATATAACCCTGTCTGTGTCTCTGTATGTTAGTCGGTCCATTGTTTTTTCTGTCAGTCTCGTCTCGCCTCGCTTTGGATCTCTAGTGTTTCCTGTGCTTCTTGAGTCTCTAGTGTTTTTCTTGTATCTCCAGTTCAGTTTTTGGACATTTTTGGGTTTTGGCTTCCAGCCCTTTGGATTTATTTTTGTTTTGTTCATCCTAAATAAAAGGATTTTACTTTATCTCCACTCCTGCCTCGTGTCGTCCTGGGTTCTGCGTTTTGGGTCCTAACCTCCTCCTTGCTCGTATCGTGACAAGCACGAGTCTACAAAAAAATAAAAGAAATCTGCCACCATGTTTTTTTAAATCACAAATGTATTAATGTAGATTTGAAAACTACAACATTCTTTAAAAGATAAGTTGTGTTTATTACACATGAAGTTTAGTTTTACTCGGATCTATTCTAGTTCAGAGATCAGTATTGTATTAACCTGTTAGGTCCTCGTTTGGCTCAGTACCCATGAAGTCGCTTTCAGCTTCGCAATGGTTGGTGACCCCTGATCTAAAGACTCACAAACCCTTTGCAGATGTTTTGGATTCATTAGCAAAAGGTTCAAACTTTGTGTTCCTTTATTATCACGTGGGAAATGATCCTTGCATTACTAAGTGTTAGCTGATGTTACTATCGAATGTTTACTTATTCTTAAAGGTGCAAATTGTAAAAATTCTGCTTATAAATAATTACAAAACAGTTAAATGTCACAATAATGTTGGAAGGCAGATTACACAGAAAAAATATTTAAAGAGCAAGTCACCCCCAAATAAACTTTTTTTTGCTGATAAACTAAATAAACGAGTGTCTAATCGTGCTGCAGACACGTGTCGTCAATAATTTGGCACTTCAGTGCATCTTAGTTAACATTTAAATATTCTGCCTAAAACTGGCAGTGTTGTGCCGTTGTCAGGTAAAAACTCTGCACTGTATTTGAATTTAAATCTGCCATCGCTATTGGTTAAGAGGTATGCTATGATGTTAACTGGTACATTATGATGTCACAATGCTGTGTGTGTGTGTATTTGTTAGCAGCTCCGCCCTCTCGGTCTGCCAGGCGACAGCATTTGTTGCATTTTTCAAACATGAAGTGGGAGTGGAGTTAGACTCTGGTAGGGGGTGACTTGCTCTTTAATTTTCAGCTGACTGGGGGTTGTCTTTCTCCTTTCAAAAACAAAACAAACAAACAAACAAACAAACAAACAAAAAAAAGCAAAAGTAGAACGTAGTTACCGCTTGCACTCAAAGTTTGTGAGGTTGCCAAGAATTGTAGCAACACCAGCAGGCTAAATGCTGCGGAGTTGTTTAAAGAAACAAAAGTCAGCAAACCAGAAGTTATTTCTTGTACCTCCAAAAAGCCACAACGTCTTTTTGTTTTACTCTAATATCGGCTAAAGCAGGCTAAAGGCTAACGTCGAGCTAACAATGCTAACGATGAATTAAAATTAAGTAAGTAAATTTTATTTATATAGCACTCATCACAGACAGAAAATCACGAAGTGCTTCACATAGATCAAAAGAAAACCAAACAAATCATAAAGTCATCAAATCATAATGATCTCAAAAAAATAAACTAAAATCAGAAAAATTACTATATATGAAATATAAAACAAATGAAGGATGATTACAAATTTGAGTATAAAAATAAGAAAACAAAATATTTTGGTAAAAGCAGCTTTAAGTAAATTCTTCTGCTGTTTTTTTAAAAGTGACCAGGCTGTCAGAACTACCTAAGGCTAAAGGAAAGTAGAGGTGCAGCAGCCTGGAAGGAGCAAATAGTTGGATTTTAAAATATCCCAAGCGACTTTTTTAATCGCCAAAAACTCAGCATCACAGGGAAATGTGTGAAGTGAGTAAAGATTCAATCGTGGCATTTTACTTCCTTCAATGAGTCGTTCAGAACTACAACAGCAAGAGAGCAAATAACCCTTCTTGTAAAGCCGGAGACAAACTACCGTAATAAATATCGTAGGACCTCCCTACCGTAAAACGCCAAAGAGTGCTAACACCAGATATAACAATGTATTTATCTACTTGACTCGTCTTTGCATGTCATCTAGAGTCTCCTGGTGCTGAGCCGTAACAGCCATGAAACTCGCAGTAGGAGAGTGAGAGAGGGATATTTTAGCCTAAAAAAAGGACTGCAGTAACCCCAGGATATCTGTCTTACAAGTTGCACCTTTAAGCTAGAACAAACACACAGCAAACAGACATAACTCCATCCTGGCAACACCCTCTACGACTGCAGCAAGGTGACGACCAGCCAGTAAACTCTGGTGGGTAAGAACTTACCGACTGGTATGAATGGCTGCGAGGCGGGACTGTGGCGAGACATGCCAATCCCGTTGACGGCGTAGACTCTCATCTCATACGGCATGCCTTCAATCATGCGCTTGGCCTCATACGTAGTTTCAGGGTAGGGGTCAAAGTTCAGTCTCATCCACCTGTAGCTCTTCAGCTTCTTCCTCTCCAGCACATAACCTGAGAGTTTAAACAGCTGCACATTATGCTCCCACCATCCAAATGTTCAATACAAATGTCTTCTACCGTGCTTTACCAATAATTGGCTCGCCGCCGTCAAACTCAGGGGCTTCCCACTGAACAATGCAGGAATCTTCTCCCACGCTGAGGATCTTTGGAGCCTGAGGAGGATCTGGAACATCTGGAGGGAAAACAGTCTTATAATTAAAAAAAATGTGGATAGTCTACAAAAAATACAAGTGAAGTAGATCTGTCTTACCAACAACTTTTACACTGATGTCAGCCGTGTCTTCTCCTGCTGGGTTTCGCACCACAACAGAGTAAGCCCCTTCGTCCTGCCTCTCAGCTCCCTCAATGGTGAAGATGCAGTGTCCCTTTGTGGATTCCACGTGGAGTCTACCATCTCCCTCTGTGATGACCTATCCGATGAGACTCAGTTAGGATGATAACATCGGTTAACACAATGAACACGCGTGGTCCCCACACTGGGTTAAGACTCTGTTATGGTTTCCTCGACCCAAAGACTTGCAGGATGGTGCAGACGGAGCAGTATAAATCAGGCTCAACTCTGTCTGAGGGCAACAGTGATGTCAGACTTTCAGGTCCTGCCACTCCCACTTGTGATGAAAACGTTTGTCATGTCTAGGATGTTTTAGTTGTGTACAATTTCAAAAAGGCATCCTTGATCAAAAATTTCCTGGTTTTTTAATCCTCCAACCTTCTAAAGGTCAACTTTAGTCCTATTTTAATACATCTGCTATGATCTCTAGTAGGAATGAACATCTTAAAAGTCGTACTTTGGGAAAAAAAAACCTACAGTGTGCCTGTTTGAGTACAGAGATGTACGCTAGAGGAGAAAGTGGGAGAACACGACAGGATTTGGAGTCTTATTTCCTGATATTTGGACATCTCGCCTCTGACTGGCTAACAGCAACACGACTTTACTAATGACTCTGCTTGCTCTGCGACCTTGATGTTTTATCTCCACAAATAACACAAGCCTGAAGGAGTACTGCTGTGTGGTGGAGTAGCTAATGCTAACAGTTAGCTTCTGCTCCTGTTTCTTTGCCTGAGTTAACCAAACTAGTTAACTCAATGAAGACCTCTGCATGCCCCCTCGACATCTTACCCTCATCTTTGTTTAAAGTGCTTTTCAGTCCATCGGTCCCAGCGTGCTCTCTATAATTAATGCTTCTCTGGTTTCTGATCAGGTCCCTGCTTACTTTAAGAACGCTGTAATCTACCCGCTTCTTAAAAAACCGAGTCTTGGTCCCTCTCTCCATAGCAGCTTCAGACCCATCTCCAAACTTCCGTTCATCTCCAAGACCTTGGAAAAGGTTGTGGCTAAACATCTCACAGCTGCTCTTGATGAACATAACATCTATGATAGCTTCCAGTCAGGTTTTCGTAGAGCTCATTCTACTGAAACAGCTCTTCTTAGGGTCTCTAATGACCTTCTGAATCACAGTGATGCAGGGGACTGTTCTGTTCTGGTCCTGCTGGACTTGACTGCAGCCTTTGACACTGTTGACCATCACCTGATACTGGAGAGGCTGAGAGACTGGGTAGGCCGATCAGGAACTGCTCTGGAGTGGTTCTCCTCTTATCTCTCTGAGCGCTCCTTTTCTGTGGCCGTCTCCAAGTTTAGGTCCTCCGCCACCTCTCTTACCCATGGTGTACCACAAGGTTCTGTGCTGGGGCCTCTTCTCTTCCTCCTCTATCTGCTTCCTCTTCAGCACATCCTGAGCTCCTTCAAAGGAATCTCCTGCCATCTTTTTGCAGATGACATCCAACTGTACATCTCCTTTAAGCCCCATGAGATGTCTAAGCTGCAGCTGTTACACACCTGCTTAGACTCTATCAAAGCCTGGATGGCTGGGAACTTTCTACAGCTGAATGAAGATAAGACTGAAATCCTCATCTGTGCCCCAGACAAGCTGGTTCCCAAAGTCAGAGACTCTCTTGGTCAGCTTGCTTCTCACACCAAACCTTCTGTCAGGAATCTTGGTGTGACCTTTGACCCAGCCCTCACCCTGGATTCTCATGTCAGTTCTCTTGTTCGCTCTTCGTTCTTCCATCTCAAGAACATTGCTAAGCTGAGTCCCATTCTGTCCCGCTCTGAACTTGAGACTGTTCTCCACACCTTCATCTCCTCACGCTTAGACTACTGCAACTCTCTTTTCACGTGTCTGAGCAGAACCTCCCTGAACCATCTACAGGTGGTTCAGAACGCCTGTACTCGGCTTCTGACCAAGTCCTCCAAATACACCCACATCACCCCGCTTCTCCTCCAGCTTCACTGGCTGCCAGTCAACTTCAGGATTAATTTCAAGATCCTGGTTCTGGTCTACAGGGCCTTACATGGACAAGCACCATCTTACATTGGTGATCTTCTCAGTCCCTACACCCCCAGCAGGTCCCTGAGGTCCAGTGATCAAAGCCTACTGGTTGTGCAGCACCAGGCTAAAGACCAAAGGTGACAGATCATTTGCTACTGTGGCCAGTGGTGGTGCCAGGGGGGTGCTATAGCTACCCCTGGATTAGTCATTGCACCCCATAGCACCCCCAAGTAAATATTGGATTTTATTTTTTTACAATTTACTTTTAATTTAAGTTGTGGATGTGATAATGTTTAACATATAAACAAAAATAATCAGTAAATTATCATATAGATAGTAAAAGCTTTAATCAAAACAGGAAATTGATGTTAACCTTTGACCTCATTTTCCACCTGCGAACGAGTGAAAGGTAGTTAGTCGTAAAATGGATCAGTTTTGTTGCCAAAATGTCCACGGGTTCTGTCAGAAACTAATGAGTCTTTGGAAGTGATCTCAGACCCACAAAAACCTACGGATCTGGATGAAGAGAGTCAACCCTCAACCGCTGCAGCAGTCGAGGGTTTTGCCGCTGGAAATGCTAACACTAACGTTAGCTAACCTTGCAACACTATAGATGGTTTTCTGTGTGGCTGTGTGTGTTTTTTGATTTCATGGAAAAGTCAGCGATTGTTCATATGTTTATGATGTATATTAATGATTGTTTCAGGTGTTGTTGAGGTTTTGTGCACGCATATGAATCTGCTAGTGTTGAAGGTGTTTTAGAGAACAATAGGTACGCATGACCACTTCTTTCATAGCACCCTCAATAAAAAGACTAGCTCTTTCATAGCACCTGCAGAAAAAAAATTCCTGAAGCCGCCACTGGCTGTGACCCCCAGACTCTGGAACTATCTCCCCCTAGCCTGAGATCAGTGGACTCAGTGGTCTCCTTTAAAAAGCAGCTGAAGACTCACCACTCTCTCTTTATTCTGCTCTCCCCACCTATTCCACCTTCCTCAGGATCCACTGATTCCCCTCTTTCCTATTCACTCTCTCTTTCTTAAAGGGGCATTATGGAAGTTTGACAGTCAAAACATGTATAGAAATAATAATTTTCTTCTTCATGCATTCTCCTGCAATGCCCTGGTCCTGTAGAATGAGCCCTGGCATTTTTACTGTGATTGCCTGTTTTTCTGTAAAATCACAGAAAAAAGAGAGTTGAGCTGAGCTGCTCGAGTCGAGCAGGCTGCTTCATGCGCGTTCACGCTCAGGCATAGCCCGTAGCATTTGCTATCCGTAGCTTTAGCAGCAGAGAGAGAGGCAGTTCCACTTTGTCGCTGTTCCTAACGCCTAGTGACAAAGCTAGCTACATTTCTGAGGACCCTTAGCTGCTTTCTATAGAACTTTCTTCTAGATATTTCCTGCAAATTAGCAGCAAAATAGCCATTTTCGCTCCGAACCGTTCTCTGAGCATTGTTTTCGCTGTAATCAAGGATATAAATATTACAGATACCAAATATGTCAGTGGTGGTTTAGCTCATCTAGTTAGACGTCGGACTCTAATGCAAGAGACCCGTGTTTGATTCTGGGTGAGAAAAGTTTTTTTTAGAGTTTCATTTTTACATTAATGGTATATTTAGTGATCAAGGTTACAAATGTTACAGATACAGAAGATGCTACTGATGGTTAAGCTGGCCTTGTAAGATTATGGGCTTTCGTGCAGAAGACCCGGGTGCGATTCTGGATGTGAACATGATTGTTTTAGAGTTTCTTTTTTACATTAATGGTATATTTTTTTACAGTAAGATGCCCAAATTTTTATTTGAGACTCGCCGAACGGCATTGAATTCACAGATAAAAAAGATGTGGGTTCAACTTTCATTTTGAAACAAATTTTCAAGCAAGGGAAGGGAATGATCTGAGCGTGCAGGAGGACTGACCCATCTTAAATCTTTGTCGGCTGTGCTGAAGAGAAAGGTACAGAACCAAATTATTTAATTAATTAGCTGCACGTTCTCCTGTCCTCTGTCCTCCGCCCCCCCCCCCCCCCCCCCCCCCACACACACACACAAGGGACTGTCAGCTCTCAGAGCTCTGTGGAGTTGACGGGGGTCAGCTCCACAGAGCTTCGTCTCAGCTGTTATTTTCGTTAAGGAGTGTGCACGTACAGCATGCGCGCCTCGTGCATGAGCCTCCTATTGAAGCTGTCGTTACGCTTTTGGCCAGAGGGGGCAATTGCGAGCATAAAAGTTCAAAACTCCGTAAAGTCCCTTTAACATTTTTTTTATCATAATTGTCTATATATTTTTTCTTATTTTAAATATATTTTTAACCATTTTCTAAATTCTTTTCTTTATTTTTACATTTTTTGTTTTTGTGAAGCACCTCATGACTTTTATCTTGAGAGGTGTTACAGAAAAGATATTTTCTTCTTCTTCTTCCTCTCCTAGTCGAAATGTTCTCTGCTGTTTCCTGGACTACACTGCGGGCCTTGAGCTGGGATTAATTTCTCAGATGGTGTTGGAATGCACTGGAAGATCACAGCTGTGTGATGGAGTGGTATCCTAGACATGTCCAGCACATACAGTATGCTCCACCCAGGAGCCACTAGGATCTCTTGCATCATATTGAAGTCATACTGCTTTTCAGTCCTTCATCACCTTCTCAGATAGAAGAAAAGCACACAGAACGTGCAGGGTGGGAGTGTACTTTAAAATCTAAACAAAAGATCATGAATATTTACTTCCTGGCGAGACCTCCAGAGATCTGCAAATGCAAGATGTTCTGTTGCATGCTCTTACCTTAATGACATAGAAGGATACTACGTGCAATTTTTAGTCTGTTGGACTTTTAGTGCAAAAACAAATGTGCATGCTCACCAACAGCTGGACACATTTCTGTGAATGTTTTCAAGAGAAAACCAAAACAGCATGAGCATGACCAGGTGCCTCTCCCACTTCGAACAAACAAAGTGTGGAACGGTAAGGGGCAGTATCATTTTTAAATGATATTCTTCTGGTATCATTTTAAATAGGATTGCATTAAAAAACATACAATAAGTGTTCAAATGAATATCATATTCATACTTGTTTGGCATAATTAGAATTGCATGTGCTGAGCTTAGAGCGTCAGACAGGTAAAAACAGGTAAGACTGAAGCACAAAAGGACAATACATGCTGAGTTATGCGAAAGAAAACAAACAGTCCCTTACCTCTCCATCATTTAAGATCCAAGAGGCCGACTGCCCTTCTTTCTCTCCTCCTTCTTTTACAGAACTACCCTACAGCAAAGCCAGTGATAACAGAGAGCTTATGTGACCTCTCATGCAGCCAAGATCATTGTTTTAGGATGAAGGTTGCATGCCTTTTTGAATCTGCTAGGGATGTTTGTATTAGTTAATGAGTGACGTTCTGCTTCCTCAGCAAGCTTCAGATGTCAGACCTTACCTAAAGCTCTCCAGACAGACGCCTCCTGTCAGCTGATTGGTTACAACAGGTTTTATGCCATCCTTACCTTCTCTCCTTTGGTCCAGATCACTGTGGGAGCAGGATCCCCCGTGATCGGGACATCCAGACGCAGTTTGTTTCCAGCCACCACCACGATGGTTGACTCAGCGGTGCGACCCATGCAGTCAAGGTGGATCTTGGGAGGATCTTAGGAAGTAAAACCAACCATGGTCTTAAAACGAGGCTGGCTTGCCAGTCACAGAGTAAATCTGTTGTCATTTACCTTGGCGTGGCACGTAATCAATCTTCACCTCTGAGAAGAGACAAAGAAGCACATTTTGAGGAGCTCAAATGAAATATTTGAAGTTTAAAAGCTAAATAACAATTGTTACCCAAGAAGTTGAGTTTAGCAGAAAGGCTGAAAGCGTAGCCATCCGGTACAAAAGTGTAGTCTCCCTCATCCTCGGGTTTCACCTCATCAATGGTCAGTTTGTGGATCCTATAGGTTCAAGGATTTAGTTTAAGATGTCGTCCCCTGCAAACAGTCACGTCGTATGGACGTGCAGATCGTGTCTGTATCGAGTCTGTCGGTCCAGACCACGTCTGTAGGACGCCCAAACTAGGTCTTTGCACAGTGGAGAATCTAAACATGTTTGCTTTTATTTTTAAAACTCACCTGCCAATATGTGAGATATTTATCCTAGCATCAGCTTTGACTTCCACACCGTTCTTGTACCAGGTTCCCCTCACGTTCTCATCCGACACCTCGCACTTAAAGACAGCCTGGTCCTTCGCCTTCACCGTCAGGTCTGCGATGCTCTGGTAGACTTCTAGTTCTTTCTCTGCACCGTCATCAAACAGATAAAGCTGACGTGTGAGGTTTTCGGTGGTGGGATGAAGCTTAGCAACAGACGCAAGGGGAAAAGTGAATTCATCGAATAGTGGAGGATAAAGAAGGAGGGGAAGAGTTTCTGGTGTTTTTCACCACCAGTGGAGGAGAGGTGGGAATGGTGGGAATGGAATTGTAATTGGGAGCTCTGCTGCTGGCTGAAGTGTTGATCCCTGCTGCATGAAAGCAGCTGATCATTCTCGGCAGGGCTGAAGTTCAATTACCCAACCAGAAAAACTTAACAGGACAAAGAACACAAAATCCAGGTTTAAATCTTTACTAAACTCACAAAACACACACAGAGGGAGACCTAAAGTATTTAAATCATGAGAGTTTATAAAAATATTCAATTATAACTTGATATTCAAAGGCAGGAACCAAGAGAGAGTCTTTAATCTGGAGATAATGTAGCTTATTTTCTCATGATTACAAGTAAAAATACAGAATTTCTTTAAAACCTTTTTTTAATTAAATTATTTAGAAAATGACAACAGAGAAGTATTTTTTATGTGTTATTGCTGATTTCATTCCTAAGATTGAAGACACTTGGAAAAGGTGTTAAATGAAACCCCAAACACGCTGCCCCCCCCAACCCGGCGAGACAACCTATCATGAGAACATTTCAGGAAAACCAGAACCACATGAAGAACAGGTGGCTCAGCCGTTCTTGGTGTCCATGTTCAAGGAGTTTGTAATTGAAATAGTTCTTGTTTTTATTTTCTGTAAAGTCCCGTTAGTCATCATCACACTGGGGAAATGACATCTCCACACTGGACCCATCCCCGTGGGGAGTGGTGAGCTGCAGCAGTGGCTGCGCTCCATAACTATTTGCTGGTTTATTAGCGCCTCTTTAACGGCTACAACCAGTTTATTTTTTAGTTCATTCAGTTTAGTTTTCCTCTTCATAGGCATTCACTCTGCACTCCCTTTTCCCTGATCAGTCTGAGACGTCCCGCCTGAGTCATGCCACTCTCCCTGGCAGATGATCCACCTCGTGCTCTTTCCATGCTCCGGTTTTTGCCTCCAGGTTCATGCTGCTGGATTATTCCTGCTTCGCCTTTTGCACAGTGGATCTCTAGTGGTGATGTGACATCAGTAACGAATCAAATCTCTTGAATGGCTCGATCTTTTTGGGTTTCAGTAACCGGATGAACGCTTCACACACACGTTCTCACAAACGCGGCCTTTTTATGGAGCACATTTTCGGATTGTCGATAAAATTTTTGAGTCTGGGAGAAACTGAAGCCAGTTGAAGAGGTCCGAGGTTCCCCGTGTCCTGAACTACAACGCTGATTCTTGTTAGTTAAACCCACTCATGCTTCGTGGCTGAATTTCTGGGTCCTCTGTGCAAAACCATCACAAGTTACCCCTAAAACCCTTTTCTCTTCTCCCAGTCCACTGAACCCTGATCAGGACCACAGCGAGCTGGTGCCTATTCCAGTATCTGCTGGTTGAGATGCTGGAGGATCCACTCGTTTTCAGATTAGCTAATTTCATCCTCTAATTTACCACAGGCCTGAGGCCCTGTCCACACGTAGCCGGGGATCTGCCAAAACGTAGATATTTTTCTACGTTTTGGCCTGTCATCCACACGAAAACTGAGTTTTTTCACACGAAAACTGAGTTTTTTCACACGAAAACGGATCTTTTTAAAAACTCCGGCCAAAGTGAAGATCTGCGTTTTCTCCGTTTTGGGTGTCTGCGTGTGGACAGACAAAACCGGAGTTTTAAGGTCTGCAACGTCACTTTCCGCGACAAAAAATGCTGACATCACGTGTGCGACCTGTGTTTACACTAGCCGACAGCATGGATGCCCTCAGAGCTGCGCTCGCTTTATCAATTGTCCAAGCGCTTTCTGCTTGTTTGTTTTTGCAAGCGGAATTACTGCTCCTTGCGGAAGACCACAGACGAAGGACGAGGTTAAGAACGGGGGAAGTACTGCCGCCTACAGGTCTGGCATGTCCTTAACAACGTATTTATCCGGGTACGTGTGGACAGAGTTTTGTTTTAAAACGAGGTGGTGTGGATGCAAGTTTTTGGAGGGGCGGATATTCGTTTAAAAAAACCCCGACTACGTGTGGACTAGGTCTGATTCACAAACCACCACCGTGCTTCCATGGACACTAATACAACCCAGTGTGTCCTTCAGGTAAAATTTACATCCTCTAACTTCAGCTGCCTGTCCTTGCTGCTGGAATGTGGCAGAATTATGAGAGCAGCACCAAGATAGACGGGATGCCAAGAACAGGGAGACTGCCAAGTTACGAGAATGTGTTGGAGAATGTATCGCCTACACAAGCGCCACCCCCAGCATGTCGCACACTCACCCTGCACCAGGAGCTCAGCCATCGACTCTCCGCCATTCGTTTTGACCTTATAGTGACCACAGTCCTCTTTTGTAGCCTCGTTAATGATCAGAAAGTGTTTGCAGCCATCTTTCTTGAAGCGATATTTCAAAGACTCATCTCTGGTCAGTTCAACACCATCTTTCTCCCTGTATTGAAAAAAAAGAAGCTGTTTACTGAACGAGAGCAATACAATTCTATGTTCTAATCTTTTATGATTTATGCATTTTTTGCATCTCTTATTCACAAAAACGCTGAAATATCTCACCATTTAACATTTGCTCCTTCTTCTGAGACCTCACACATCAACTCCACCCGTTCGCCTTTCATAACCATCTGGTCCTCCAGACTTTTCACTATCATGACCGGAGGCTCTACAGGAAACAGATGAAAATTAAAGATTAAACAAAATCTTCTGCAAGCTACTCTAACATCTCTCTTACCTTTAACAAAAAGCTCAGTGGTGCATTTGTCGTCTCCCACCACGCACGCGTACGCCGCGTCATCCGCTAGGGAGCAATGGTTGATTGTGAGGTAGCGCATGTTGCCAACACTCTCAAATATGTACCTTTAAAAATGTGATTTTCACATCAGGAAAACACTTTTTCATTTTAGGAAAAACTTTGAATATTCCTTATTTCTCTCTTTAGGTTGTGGCACTTACTTGCTGGAGAAAGACCAGAAGGAGAAGGAAAGAAAAATGAGAAGTCATAAAAAGCCAGATTCAGCATAAAAACCTCTCTAGGAAACCGTTCAAACCTTCCAGATTTTTGGATTTCTTGTCCGTTCTTTAGCCACTTCACCTCCATGTTTTCGTCAGCAACCTCAACGGCAAGCTTGATCTTGTGTCCCTTTGATACCTGGTAGGCAGGGTCCAACTTTTTGAGGAAAGCTGTTTGAAAACATAAAAAATACCACAAGAATCCTTAAATACGTGAAAAATGATTGAAGTGATGCATGTCGCAGGTTCGACGTGCCGACCTTCACTTTTCTTCTCCTCCTTCTTCATCTTCTTCAGCCTCTTGAGCATCCCTCTCAGGTCAGTGATGCCGTACTGGAATGCAATCTTCTCATATTCTGAAGGACGAGCATGGCTGAGAATGTTCCACACGTCGATGTCGGGGTCAGAGTTCACGTGCGCAGGTTTGCTAAGCAAATGGAAACCAGAAGATGATTAAAACCAGGCCCGGCGCCGTGTGGAATACCACCGTCACACAGGCTGTCTCACCAGATGAGAACTTGTTTATCACTGATTTCATTATTGATGAAAATACTTTTATATTAAGAGAGGCGTAATTAATTTTAAAATAATTCAATACTTAAGTGGGAAATAGTTTTATCATTTTCAGTAGAATATTGTCCAAATAGGCATAAGATCCAGTTATTGTTATGGTCGTCTGTACACCAGAAAGTGGCACGATTAGGCGAGATTTCTTTTTCCAAACTTTATTTGAACCTGCGTCACATGTAGCTATATCAGGCATCCATCTTAATTCTTTCTCCTTCTCTCCCACACCTACGTTCTCCTCTCCTGTACTGCCCCCCAGTGGTAGACACAGTTATGCTTATTATTTTATAAAGAAAGAAAAAAAAACATCTTACCTTCCTGATGTGCTCCTATAGAAGATACAAAGGGACGTTAACATTCCTGTACTTCATTTACAAACATTGATAAATTCTGTGTACATTGTTCTTTCTACAGGTAAAGGTTTTAATGCAAATAGCTAAAAACTTCAAAACTATTATGAGTGCTTTTTAATTTAACATGAACATGCAAAGTTTTTTTCTGATTATATACAAATGCTGCTCATGCAACACTTTTTACAAGACACTGGCAAATCAAAGTAATATTACCGCAACGGTGTGTCCTTTAAACGCGCCTTGCTGGCATTGTGGTGCATGAATTTTGCAGCATTCGTTTGGCCTCATTAGGTAGTAATATTGTGGTAATTGTCTGTCTTATACATGACAATTGCGCCTTTGCGCAACAGAGGGAGTTGTCATGATGGCGTTGGGAGTTACCGCCGTGGTCCGGCGGGCAACTACATTGAAAATGAAAGTATGAAATGAGCTGTAAGTTTTGCTTTTGTAAACAGAACCAGCTGGGTTGACAAACTGGAGCTATGCAGAGCTCCAGGAGCTTCTCTCCATTAGAGCTGGAGGTCAGATCACCAAAGACTGCACAGGGACTGTGGAGGACAGATACGTTTAGGAGCAGCTTGTCAAAAAAACTGAACGAGCGCGGCTTCGATCGCAATGAAAAGCAAGTTATGTCTAAGTAAAATGGAAGTCTGCAGCAGGACAGGGACCGCTCATACCCCCCTTTATACCGCCATCGCCTGATCTTTTATAAAAAGGGCACAATTGCGCCACAATATCACCACGATCTGACCACTCATAAAGGACAAGGCCCTTTGATGCCACCACGGCATTGTCTTGTAAAAACGGCTGCAGAGAGGAAACCTGAGGTTATAGAAAAAGTGAGATGAAACAAAAAGTTTTATACATGAAACACAAAATTGTAAAAAACAAAAAAAAAAAAAAACAAAGAATAATGCGGTGAAATTGTGAATTTAAAGATGGTAAACATACAAACGCCACGTGCTCTACACTGCAAAAAAATATTTGTAAGAAAGTGAAAAAGCCCAAAACAATTATTTTTAGATATTTTATCTTATTTTAAGTGTAAAAGAAAATCTATTATCCATCCATTATTCTGTATCCACTTGTCCATGCAAGTTCATGGAGGGCTATCTACAGCAGTGGCATACAGGCAGGGTACACCCTGGACAAATTGCCAGTCCATCAGGGCAACACACAGACACACAGGACAAACAACCATGCACAAACACCCACACCTAATGATAGTTTAGAGAGACCAATTATACTGACAGTCATGTTTGTGGACTGTGGGAGGAAGGTGGGGTACCTGGAGGGAACCAATGCATGCACAGGGAGAACATGCAAACTCCCTGCAGAAAGACCCCAGGCTGGGATGTGAACCCAGGACCTTCTTGCTGCAAGGCAACAGGGCTAACCACTGCGCCACTGTGCAGCCCAGAAAATGAATTATTCTCTAGAAAAATAAAATTACTTACAAAAAGGTAAGCATCCTTAAAAACGGATCCAAATATTCTTATTTTGAGTAAAAACATTACCAACGAGTCAAGCAGATGTTGCTTGGCTAGAATTCTTAAAACTAGCAAATAAATCAAATTTAGATTATTTTGCTAGTTTTAAGAATTCTCGCCAAGAAACTTTCATTTTAAAATAAAAATAGGATAAATTATTTTTAAATATTAGGCTTTTTTTTACTTTCTTAGAATTAATGTTTTTGAGTGTAGACGGGCTCAGAGTTGATGGACACGGTCAGTTTATAAACAATTATATTTAGCGTGCAAAAGCAAAATGGCTTACCCTCTGAATAAAAATGATGGTCCAGAAAGAAAGAGAGAAAGATCTGGATTACAAAATTCTGAATCAACTCTTCATTTATATAGATTACTGGTAATTGACTCACCTCTTCTTCAGTAAACCGCTGAAGTCCAGCTCTCCTGAATCTCCATCTATACTTCTGCAGAAATCATAAAGCTCATCCGGTTACTTCCATGTCCAAAAGAAAAGTACATGTTGATGTGACTGATCAAATATACCCTCATACATAAATAAAAACGTCTGAACCAAAGTTTGAAACAGGTTAATGCGACCCTTGTGGTTGTAAGTCTGAGTGAGATGAAAGAAATGGGGACATGTGGTGAAACCATAGATGTGAATTCAATAAATGAAGAGATCTGAGTGGATCATTCTGTAAAACTCAAAAGAAACATGGAAACAGAAGCTGATGTGTCCAAAGTTTTTATTTTGGGAAATATCTTTTAATGTTGTTGATCTTTGTTGACCAAAGTTTTGTGTCTTTGAATTTTTATGTTTTTAATTAATGTAAAATGTAGAACATTGTTTAAAAATCTTTATGAATTAAAACGTGTTATTTTAAATTCTTTAAACATAGAAAATGTATTGACTGATATTTTCTTATTAATTCTTATTTTGTTTTCTTCTGTGGTTGACGGCACCATTAGTCTTGCTGTTTCTGTATTCAGGACTGAGGAAGAAAGAAAATCATAAAAAAAATCCTGAAAACTACAAAACGATCCCTCCAAAGTCACAAAGCATCAGCTGTAATTCAGGCAGAAGCAACACAAAACACTCAGCTCAGACAAACAGTCACTAAACTGCTTGTCTTTTATCAGTGGGATGGACGATAAGGACGAGGATGTCGCGTGCCTCTGATCACACGGATGAGCCTCTGGTCTGTGGTGAAGTAACACTTCCTGTGTTTGGAAACACCCCCCACCCCTCCTGGAAGAGCGTGACTACTGAAAAGCCCGGGTGTCTTAACACATCCTGCACTTTCATTGTGATCAAACCATCAAACCGGCCCTGTTTGTGCAGCTGGCTCTGGTGTTTTGATTGTGAAGCAGCAGGAGATTAGAAAGAGCCAATGCATGCCAGCGTGTGCTAATTAGCATGTAGATAGTCAAAGATCAACACAGTTCCAGCTATTTCAATGATTGTGTTTAGATTTCTTGAGTTCTCCTCATGTGATCCGTCTCCAGACTCGGCTGCAAAACCCAAAACACCGGATTTGTTTTGGCTCAAGTGCAGGGGGACGAAAAAGGGCCACGAGAGAATAATAATTATAATAAAAGGACTACAACCTATTACTACTACTAATCATAAATAAGCACGTTTTACTCTACTAAATATTAGATTTCTCCAAACAAACTTTTTTTTATCAACTATCAGCAAAGTGAAATATTTAATAATATTTTGCACCTAAAACCGTTCCTGTGAAAGTGCAGATCTCATTCTACGTTGCTTCTGTTCCCACTCTAAAATTCAATTTAAAGGACCTGTATTGAACCACCTTGGTTTGAAAGGATCTCCCCTCTGGAATGAAGGTAGTTATTTTCTGATTGTTTCACATGCCGCCGCTTCGCTTCACATCACGAGCAAACGTGAACTTAGTGTGATCTGGCATCATGTGATGACCTTTACAAACAACAGCAAAGGTTTGAGAGTCAAATACAAGGAATAAACACAGAAATGTGGTACCGGCAGTCCAAGTGGAGCGCGGCTCGGAAGGTCGCCAAGGCAAAAACCCGGGCATGGGAGGAGTTCAGTGAGACCATGGAGCAAGGCTTCTGTACGGCTTCGAGGAGATTCTGGTCCACCATCCGGCGCTTCGGGGGGGAAAGCAGTGCGCTACCAAGACTATCTATAGTGGGGACGGTGTGCTGCTGACCTCTACTCAGAATGTTGTGGATCGGTGGGCAGAATACTTCAAAGACCTCCTCAATCCCACCAACACATCTTCCAGTGAGGAAGCAGCGTTTGGGGACTTTGGGTTGGCCTCTCAAATCCCTAGTGCTGAGGTCACGGAGGTGATTAAAAAGCTCCTCTGTGGCAAGGCTCCAGGGGTGGATGATATCCGACCAGAGTTCCTTAAGGCTCTGGATGTTGTGGGGCTGTGTTGGCTGACGGGGCTCTGCAATATCGTGTACATCGGGGGCAGTCCCACTGGACTGGCAGACCGGGGTGGTGGTTCCCTTATTTAAAAAGGGGGACTGCAGGGTGTGTTCCAAATAAAGGGGGATCACACTCCTGAGCCTTCCTGGTAAGGGCTATTCAAGGGTTCTGGAGAGGAGGGTCCATCGGATTGTTGAACCTCAGATTCAGGAAGAGCAATGTGGTTTTCGTCCTGGCCGTGGAGCACTGGACCAGCTCTGTACCCTTAGGGGGATCCTGGATGGTGCGTAGGAATTTGCCCAACCAGTCTACATGTGTTTTGTGGATTTGGAGAAGGCATTTGACGCGTCCATCGGGAGGCCCTGTGGGGGGTACTCCGGGAGTATGGGGTACCAGGCCCTCTGATACGGGCTGTTAGGTCCCTGTATGACCGGTGTCAGAGCTTGGTCCACATTGCTGGCAGTATGTCGGGCTCATTCCCAGTGAGAGTTGGACTCCGCCAAGGCTGCCCTTGTCACCGATTCTGTTCATGACCTTTATGGACAGGATTTCTAGGTGCAGCCAAGGTGTGGAGAGCATCCGTTTTGGTGGCCTGAGGATTAGCTCTCTGCTTTTTGCAGATGATGTGGTCCTGTTGGCTTCATCAGAACGTGATCTTCAGCTTTCGCTGGAGCGGTTCACAGCCGAGTGTGAAGCAGCTGGTATGAGAATCAGCTCCTCTAAATCTGAGACCATGGTCTTGATTCAGAAAAGGGTAGAATGCCTTCTCCGGGTCAGGGATGAGGTCCTGCCCCAAGTGGAGGAGTTTAAGTATCTTGGGGTCTTGTTCACGAGTGAGGGAAAGCTGGAGCGTGAGATTGATAGGCGGATTGGTGCTGCATCTGCAGTGATGCGGGCGTTATACCGGTCTGTCGTGGTGAAGAGAACTGAGTCAGAAGGCGAAGCTCTCGATTTACCGGTCGATCTATGTTCCTACCCTCACCTATGGTCATGAGCTTTGGGTAGTGACCAAAAGAACGAGATCGCGGATACAAGCCGCCGAAATGAGTTTTCTCCGAGGAGTGGCTGGGCTCTCCCTTAGAGATAGGGTGAGAAGCTCAGCCATCCGGGAGGGGCTCTGAGTAGACCCGCTGCTCCTCCACATCGAGAGAAGCCAGTTGAGGTGGCTCGGGCATCTGGTCAGGATGCCTCCTGGACGCCTCCGTGGTGAGGCTTTCCGGGCACGTCCAACCGGCAGGAGACCTAAAGGTAGACCCAGGACACGGTGGAGGGACTATGTCTCTCACCTGGCCAGGGAACGCCTTGGGATTTCCCCGGAGGAGCTGGCCCAAGTGGCTGGGGAGAGGCAAGTCTGGGCCTCTCGCCTTAGTCTACTGCCCCCGCGACCCGACTCCGGATAAGCGGATGAAAATGGATGGATGGATGGAATTTTAGACACAAATAACATGACAGTTTGTTCGTGTTTTGGTTACTGTGTATTGTATGACATTGCTCATTAAAAAGTAGACTAACCCAAAATAACTAAACTGCTTCAGGCATTAAGTCAGAAAAGCTACATTTGCAATAAAAAATACTCAAATCAAAGTTTTAACCATCAAGTATTTTCAAGATAACAATAACAGTCGTAGATTAATTTAACTTCATTTCCCTTTAAATACTTACGTGCGCCTAAAAGCTGCTCTTATGTCCAAACCTTCAGGAGCGCGGGCCTCTGAAAGGCACAGCAGACAGCAAGTGAGTCTTTGTGCAACACAATCAGCAAGGTGACAGGTCCACTAGCATCATAGCTAACACCCACCGTGGACAGTCAAATCAAAATTGCAGCTGTCAAACTTGTCCTTGGACGAAACCTCACATCTGTAACCTCCGGCAAAGTTGGCTTGAGCTGAAATGATCTGCATCTCAAAGGTGTACACCTGCAGCCACAAAAGACAAAGAGGCACTCTCCACTCAGGAGACAGATAGGTATTGTGGAAGTTTAAGCAAAAAAAGCCCCCAAGTGGCTGGTTTCAGTACAGGTTTTGAGGCTTTCATACCACTTACAAAAAAAAAAAAAAAAAACCTCATAACTTCATTTCTGAACTGGTTTTCCTTGCTCAGATCTTGGGAAGCTGGTGCAGCAGTCCTCGGCTGAGAGCCAGGGGACATTCTGGACAGGTCTCCAGTCCATCACAAGTACACTGAGGGACAATTTAGAGTCTCCAATAGCATGCATGTCTTTGGCACCCAGAGAAAACCCACACATGCGTGAGGAGAACATAAAGAAAGGCTCCAGTTTTGAACCTGCAACCTTCTCACTGCAAGGCAATAGTGCTACCAACTGCACCAACATGCAGCCCAAATAAAAAACAAACTCAGTTTTTTGGCCCGATGATGACCGTTGTTGATCTATGTGGCTCTTACCGTGCTGCATCCTGTCCAAGTACTCATTAAAATATTTATGTGGAACACGACTTATGATGAACCATGATTGTGTGCAGGTGAGTAGGAGAGACTCTCAAGACTTCGAAAATATGGTTGTCATTTATAATACTTTGGCCCTCACTTTAGTAAAGTCCAAGCAGATGGATAGCATTGAGCCTTTTGCCCGTATTTAGCTGTTTGGTGTTGGCGTACCTTTGTGTTGCGATCAAAAGTCTCTTTTAGCTGCAGATGTTTCCCACACTTGCTGGAGAGGTCCATCCACTTTCCTTTGAACCATTTGATGCTCGGTTTCTTCAGCAGCGATTCAGCGTTGACTTTAGCAACAAATGTGATGTTTTCACCTGAAAAGAACACGTTGTTTCATCACTAAGGCATTCAATCCAACATAAAGTCAAAAATAGCTGCAGTTTTAGGCTTTTGTGTTCGACCACGTCTAAATTTCTCCCAGAATCCGACATCCATTTGTGCTCTAATGAAATGATTGTACCGGGTAAAGAACTGTGCCTGATGAAGCACGTGTTCGTTAGATTAGAGTCACTCACCCACGGTGACTTCTCCACACTGAGGTTTCTCTGTGAAGAGTCCTGTCAGGTCCTGTCTGGTGTCTGCAGGGTGCCTGTCTAAAAACCCAGGAGAAAATGGCCGTGTGTAGTTAACAGACGAAAAGGAAAACATTTAAAAATAGTTTATTTTTTACATTTTAGCACATTTTCAAACCAAACTGAATGAATGCAATAAAGTGTGAATGAATGTTGACATCGTTTGACACACCCTCAGCCGGAGGAGCGTCCTGAGTCGGAGCAGAGTTTTGTTCCTGTGGGGGAGCTGCAACCGGCTCTGGTTTCACGCTGGACTCTTCAGGTCCGTCAGTACGGGCCTCAGGTGGAGTTTCTATGATGTTATAGAAAAAAGATTTTCTACATTTCAGTGATTTTTAATTCCATTAGAAGTTTTAAAATCCTTTTGGTGATCTTTTATCACTCAAATATCCCAGTTTTCTTATCATTTTTAAACAGCCAGCTAACTTTCCATGCGCTATCAGCTGCCCCTCATGCCTGTCCCATAGTCAAGTGGTGGTTACTCATGGGGAAATAATGTGCCAGTGTGAGGGTCAAGGTCACCGAGCAGACGGCACAGGTTTAGAGACAGCTGCAGGCGGGAGCTCCCAGAGCTCCCGGCACACTGAGCTGAGCGCTATCGTCAAGATTTGTTCGTCGCTTAATAAATCTAATGTTCAAGGCGTGGTAACCCAATGGCACAAATGTTGTCCAGTGGCACACAAATAGTCAAAAATTGCTGTTCACAGTTCAAAAGAACATTTGGAGTTTGGGGGAATTGTCAGAAACCTTCACAATCAGAAATGCCGTGACTCGTGAGATAATGTTAGAAACATGCAGTGCATTGAGCATCGGCCGCCGTGGTGGTTTTCTGAAGCTTTGATGTGCTTTGTGCTCGGTGATGAGTGCACAGACTCCAGGTGAGTTAGCAGAGCCCTCAGATGCAGCCGTAGCATCAAAGCCTCCCACCTGGCTTCACTACCACCCGCAGCTCAAACTTGACCTTTGAACCACCAGCTATCACAGCGTAGACGTCGGCATCTTCCATGGCGATTCCTCTCACAGTGAGGGAGTGCTTTCTTCCATCCGCTGTGATCACATATTTGTCGCCAGTGGCAATGTCCTTCGAGCTGCGCTGCCATTTCACTTTACAGTCAGGCTTCTCGGTCTCCGCTTCAAAAACCACAGAGGACCCTTCTTCGGCCTCCTGGGTCTTCGGTTTCTTTGCAAAAGCTGACACTAAAGAGGGTGGGTTGAAAATAATTGGAAACGTTTTGAATATTTGTTTATTTTTGGGGGTTGGTAAAGTCCTTTTTGGCTGAACGCTGTCATAGTCGTGAGCCTTCACTGACGAGCGATTACCACTGAATTGTAGATTCTCACACAAATGGAAGAGCAGATGTCGCCGACATGGTTTCCACGTCAAATTTGGCTTCAAAACTTACAGCTATCTTAAAGGTTTGAAACATTTGTTTATTTAATACATTTTCAGTGGTCTCTAGTAGGTATTAATGCCTTGTAAGTCTGGGGAAACAAAGCTCCAGTGCATCGTGTTCAGGAAGTAAAAGTGAGAGGATAGCTTCAGACAGCAGGATTTTGGAGTCTTGTTTCCTGATATGTGGACAGCTTGCCCCGTATTAGGTAACAGAAACGCGACTATACCGCTGACTTGCAACGTGGGTGTTTTAATTCCCACAAATAACACAAGCCTGGGGGAGTTCTGCCGAGGGGTGTAGTTGCTAATACTAATGGTTAGCTTCTACTAGTTGACGCAGAGCTGACGTTCTCTGCTGTTTCATCTGGTGAAATTAGGGAAAATGTTTGTGCTGTAAAGTCTGCTGCTCATGGACCGAGCTGACAGAAAACCTGGGAATTTGCTCATTCTGCATCTTTGTGTTTGAAATTTTTTACGTAAAGTTTTCCCGTCACAGGAGAACATTCAGTATTAAAGCAAACAAGGGATGACATCAAGTTTATGAAGAAGTGTTTTGGAAGCAGTCTTATAAATGATGTCACCGTAATCTAAGATGGGAAGGATTGTCATTTTGACCAATGTTTGGAGAATGAGTAAAGGATGACCTGCTGCGATATAGAACCCCCGATTCTTGACTTGGCTTTAGAAAGTAATGGATTAATGTGAATGTCAAATGAAAGTGTGCTGTCACGCCTGATAGCCAGATTCTTAAGATAAGAACTGGCACGTTGTAGTTCAGAACCATCCAGGGAAACAACCCTAGGGTGGCAGGTTGATTGTGGTAAGTTACACTTGAAGATCCGACCTATGTATTAGTGTACATATTATAAAATGTTATTAGATTAAACGTTCTATTAAACACTGAAAAACATCTTATTTCTGATTGTAATCGGTCACTCTGAGTTTTTCATGCAGGCTTGGCATGGAAGTAGTTTCCTGCACCTATCTGTATACCTTTAGGATTTGACAGCTCTACGTCACACTGTCACTTAACATTCAGAAGTAGAAGTAGAAGCTAACTGTTAGCATTAGCAACTCCACCACACGGCTCCTCCAGGCTTGTGTTATTTGTAGAGATAAAGCATCAATGTTTCAAATCAGCAGTAGAGTCTTGTTGCTGTTGTCCAATCAGAGGCGAGATGTCCAAGACTCCAAAACCTGCAGAAGCTCAGCTGTGATTTAGCTCACTTTCACTTCCCGAAACTGGTGCACTGGAGCTTTGTTTCCCCAGAGTACGACTTACCAAGCATTCATTCCTACTAGAGACCACTGCAATTATATTGATTAAGCACAATAACCTTTCTGCTCCAGAAGGAGATTCCAAAGCGGCAACATGGCAGCATTCATAAACAGGGTATTAGACCTGATAAATGTTGAAATAATTATGAGATTTTGTCCAAAATATGGTTTAACCTTTGTATTTAAAGGAATGTAAGCCGTGTTCTTTCAAGCAAAGACAAAAAGGACTGTCCAAACTGTTATCAGCAACAATTCCAGACCTCAGGGTCACGGTGGGGATCTTATCAGCACCCTTAAGGCCACTTACACCTCTGTCATTATGTAAAAAAAGCACACAAAACAATCATAGATTAAGAAAAGTTTGGAAGAAATTTAAAAGTTAAAAAGAAAACCTTTTTCTAGGCAGATTTTTATTTGGGATTTTGAGTCACATGTAGAAATGAAGTGACTAAAACTCTGTCGGTTGTCAAAGCTAAAGCACTCAAATCTGGAATGTCAGTAAGAAAATGATCCTCGTGGAGTGACCTACGGAGAAAATGCCGCCGTTTTGGTGTGAAACTCTTCACACGTGCTCATGTGGCGCAACACCTGTTGGGCTTCCTGCTTTGTTCCTGGTGGGAACGTTTCCGAGACGAGCTCAGCGTCGCTGCTCCCAAACAGTTGTTCCCAAAATGCAGTCCTAAAAATAGTTACCCCAGCGCTCTAATAGTGGACGTGTTTAACACGCTCACCATGCGCCAGGAATCCTGAGGTGCATCTTAGATCCTGGCCAGCTCCTGAACAGTTGAACACGGCGGTGCAACGTAAAGCAATAAATGAATAATCTGCAAGAAGCTTTTGATTCAAATAAATCCAACTGGAGGAAACTTTTCAGGAGTTTACGGCTTTCATTCATTCACATCCTCCAGTTATACTTTGTCAAAAACATTTTATTTAAAAACAACGTTAGAAACCAATGAAAAGCCTGTTTTTATTTACTTTGTTACAAAACAATAAAACCTCTTGATTGATTTACGATGTTATTCGGTTTCTATTTGAGGACACTCTCACGTTGAGAGCTTGGAGGAGGTTTGGACCCAAAACGCAGACACCCAGAACGACATGAGGCAGGAGTGGATGTAAATGAAAACATTCCTTTATTAGGAAGTAGAACAAAAAAAGTCCAAAAGGACAGGAAGCCAAAAACCAATGTCCTGAAACCCTGGAGAACGAAAGCTCACTTAGAGCACAAAATCTAGAGATGAGGAACAAAACAACGCTGACACCAAACAATGGACCGACAAAATACTAAGACACAGACAGGGTTTTATACACTTGGGAGGATGAGAGGGAGATGGCCTCAAGGTGTGTGGGGAGAGAGACCAGGTGAACTGAGTTACTAATCAGGGAGGAAACTAACATGACCTAAGAATAAAACCTAAAGACAAGAAGAGCAGGAAACATAACTTAATAATCCAAGGGGGGAGAAAAACCTCAAACACCAATGGGAAAAACACACTAGAGAGACTAATAATGTGAACAGCTGTAGCTAAAGGAAAATGACCTAAGAGAAAAACCTAAAGACCAGAAGGGCAGAAAACATAACTAATATTCTAATGGGGGAGCTGACACTAAAGGAAAAACACTACAGAAAGAAAAACTACAGGGGCGTGACTAAAGGGGGCCACGGGAGCACAGGAACTGGGAGGGGGATATCTGAGGAGGGAAACCTAGAGGACACACGAGGAACACAAAAGCCCTTTTCAGATAGACATTCTGGAATATGTGGGGACAATTCAATCCGGTTTTTAACCTAATTCTGCGCGCACGAAGATGCATAAGAGACCTGGATGATGAAGCTCAATGGTTAAAGGAATCACTGAAGCGGTGTGAAGCGCTCCGTCGCGCGTCTAGGCGGTACCGTAGGAGGCGAGCTGCCATGGTTTGCCGCATGCTACAGCAGCGGGCTATCTAGGTGCGCACAGCGTCCCCCGGTCCCCTCTTCCTCCCCCTCCTCCCTGTCTGGAACTCGACCTCACCAGTCTGAAGCAGCCACCTTGTCTGTAACAAGTCCGGACCTGTTACTAGGGGCGTCGTCCGGTTAAATTACGGAAAACGTTATCCGGATGTTTGTATTCAGACACAAAGGTCTTTCGGACAGAGTCCGGAACATTTCCGTTTTTCATGGCCTGTCTGAAGGGGGCTAAAGAGACAAGGGGAATTCTTAGAGGGGAATGGAGCACACAAGGAGACACATGAGGGAGACGCAGACCATGACAGAAACGGAGGCCCAGATGGAGATGGTCCAAGGATTTCTATGTAGGATATAAGGTGGAAGGATGAATGGGGAAGGATTACCTTGATGCTATTTTGATGATTTTCAAAGTAGACCAATAAGAATAATTTGCCCTTCGTGTCATCGTGTCAATCATTCCTACTTTATCACCTTATAACAGAACACACGAGTAAAAATAAAGACTTGTTTCTTTCATCATTCAAACTCAGAACATGCAAACCTAAAATAAACAAATATAAAACTTATTTAAGCTGGACCAATTTAACAAAGGGAAATGGCTTACACACACACGTTCACTCAGGACAAAGGAAAACCTCGGAAAGTCATTTGCCAGGATGGAATTTCTGGATGGTTTTATCAGCGCAGAGATGCTGGAAATGTGTCGGTGTCGAGTTTCCACGCTTTCCACCTGGGCCGGGCTGACACGAGTTCCTGACGCGATTAAACTACTGGAAACGCTTTGAACTGAGGACACCCAATTACAGACGGTATTCTGGCTCTTTGGTGCATCACCAAGCAGCTTGGGGCTTCTAAATGAAGCAAGAACTCGATTTACTGGAGAGGAACTAGTGTAGTTACTGATCAGGACACAAACGTGTGTAAAACACTTCACTTCCATCTTCCAAAATGTACTTTACCTGATTTACCAAAGTTCAACTCGTTTTTTTTATTGTAATTAGTGAAAATTTTTACTGAATTCATCAAAAAAAATTCTATTTTTAATTATAACTAATAAAATGGCCACAGACTAAAATTTGATGCACATTTTGTTTAAATATAAACAAACACTTCTCTCTAACTATGTGGTATTTATCACTTTTTAGTCAGGTCTTCTGACCCTTGATCATAGTCATTATTGTGAAACTACACAAGGTAAACATTTACAAGCGGAAGCATATTATTAGTAATAAATGCTGCGTAAATGACTTTAATAGAGGAATTTGCTGCAAACCAACATGAAGGCCTACCAGGAGAAAAGCATCATTTAAGGGATACAGGTGCCTGTTGTGATAAAACAGTTGTTACACGAACGGAGACGCTCACCGGGCTTTTTGAGAGGTTCTGGCATCCTGAAGAATCGTTCTTCAGCTGTGTCTAAACAGTCTGCTGTTCCCGTCTGTAATAACGCTCCTGTTTCAAACAGCCTTCCCTCTTTACTTCACCCAACCCGCCTCTTCTCCCACTTTTTCAGACCTGCCATAAAGCACATAAAAAAAAGAAACAACACCCACTTTTTCTCGCCCATCCCAGCAGTGACCTGGACCCCCCTCCCCACCCCACACAGAGTCATGGCCGACCTTGAGCTATATTTCAACCATCCTTTCCTCGCCACCTCGGCTGAATGAAAGGCCTCGAGAGGGTAGGGGAGAGATGTGGGGCAGCGGTTAAATTTAGAATTTGGGAAAAGCTTTTGTGCTCTCCTTCTGTGGTGTTATGTCTAAAATTAAACCAACGCAGCCTTACAATGAGAGAAGGATAAGTGTTTTCCTCTCTTTTATAGGGTCTGTCTGTCCCTCTGTTGGCGATAAGGCCAACTGATGCAGCATCAGCGAGCTAGCAGTGCATTCTGGGAACCTGAAAGCTTTTCAGACAGACGTAACTTACTTTGATGTGGACAACCATAGGCTATACTACTTCATGTACACAGCCTGGCCCAAATAAAAGGTCACACTCTAATATTTAATTGGACCACATTTAGCTTTGATTATGGCTCACATTTGCTGTGGCGTTGTTTCGAAAGGCTTCTGCCGCGTCACGAGATTTATTTCCATCCAGTGTTGCATTAATGTTTTACCAAGATCTTGCATTGATGATGGTAGAGTCTGACCACTGCACAAAGCCTTCTTCAGCACATCCCAGAGATTCTCAATGGGTTTAAAGTCTGGACTCTGTGGTGGCCAATTCACGTGTGAAAATGATGTCTCATGCTTCCTGAACCACTCTTTCACTATTTGAGCACGATGAATCCTGACATTGCCATCCTGGAATACGCCCGTGCCATCAGGGAAGATGGAATAACCTGGTCATTCAGTATATTCAGGTAGTCAGCTGACCTCATTCTTGGAGCACATCCTGTTGCTGAACCTAGACCTCACCAACTGCAGCAAGCCCAGATCATAGCACTGCCCCCACAGGCTTTTACAGTAGGCATTAGGCATGATGGGTGCATCACTTCCTCTGCCTCTCTTCTTACCCTGATGCACCATCACTATGGAACAGGGTCCATCTGGACTCATCAGACCAGTTTTTAATAGTGCGTGGGACCGTTCTTAACCCAGTTTTGGTCGTTTCTGTAATCTCCTTAGATGTTTTCTAAGAAAGTAGAAAATAGCTTCAGATGACAAATTTGGAGTCTTATTTCCTGATATTTGAACATCTTACCTCTGACTGGCTAACAGCAACACAACTCTACCATTCACTCTGTTTGCTCTGCAATTTTGATGTTTTACCTCCACAAATAACACAAGCCTGAAGGAGTTCAGCTGTGGTGGAGTTGCTAATGCTAATGGTTAGCTTATCCTAGCCAAGATGTTCTCTACTGTTTCCAGGACGCTAAACCAACAGCAGCCTTCTTTGCCGTGACTTGTGTGCTAAGATGGGTGAGTCCATGAATGTTATGTGACAGTGTGACGTAGATCTGTCCAGCCTTTTAAATCCTAGAGTTTCACCGTATGTTTTCTACAGAAGCTAATGCAGGACATAGGCGTAGGAGACCATTTTCATGTTAAGCCTGCATGAAAAACTCTGAGTGACCGAAAACAATCAGAAATAATAATAAAAAATGCTTTTTTTTCTGTGATCCACACCTTTAAACAGAAATCATAAAACACTTGCCAATAAAACAAGAGTTATTTTACAAAATGAAATATGATTGGGATTTTTTGACATAGCTCCCATATACCAAGACAAGACAAGACAAGACAAGACAAGACTTTATTGATCCCAAGGGGGGAAAAGCATGTGTTACCACAGCTCAGGACAGATAGCAAAAGAGTACAAAAGTGACCAAGAATGCAAAAATAAAAATTAAAACAAGACAAGACACTACATACAACAGTATTTTCTAATTTAGACATGATGTACTTTATGTCTCTGACCCTTTCCCCTACTATTTAATGGCTGGCTACAATGTCTAGTGTGTAGATAGCAAAACTAATGAGTACTAAATAAAATTGCCAAATATGTAACTACACATTTCTTTCTCTTAATGCTAATTAAGCTCTGGCCTTTCAGTGTGCTGTTAGCATGTTCTTCTGTTTCTTACCACAAACCAGAAATATGCATTTTAAGCTAACTGGTGTCTCTAAATTGCCCCTAGGTGTGGGTGAGTTTTTGTGAAAGGTTGTTTGTCTTTGTCCCTGTGATTGACTTGTCTAGGGTGTCCCCTACCTCTCGGCAGTTGGCTGCTGGAGTTGGCACCGACTTCTTGTGACCCTGCTGAGGATGAAGCGGTACAGATGGTGGATGGACGGGTTACGGGCTGCAAAAACACGTGGGATGATTATATGTTTAAGGGACAGTTGGAAACCTTACCTACTGTTTTTGATTATACGCATTTAAAGATGATTCTTTAAAGTCATTTCAATGATACTGAAGTGGATTAAAGGACTTGATCGAGTCTCTGGGTTATTTGGGGTCAGTGTAAACCGAGTGTTTGTTATAAATATCAGTCACAGCTTGACCATTGTGGGGAGCTGTTGGCCCTTAAGAACAAGGGCAGGGTCTGAAGGCAGACTGCTCTGTGTTACAGAGCCACTTAGTTTCATGAGTTGTATTTAAATAAAATTCCAAGAAATATGTTTTTAAATAAAATAATTTCATTGTCTGTGGACTTTGCTGAACTGTTTATTTATCGTATTGTGTGTCGATGTTTATCTTGTCTTTGTTTTCTGTAGTTTTGGTTCCATGAACCTGTTTACCTCTGGGCAAAATGTGAAGTTGTAACTTCCTATTTTTCTGTTACATGACACTAGACAAGTGTGTCATTAAATAAACAGTAGAACAAAAACCGTCTGTGTCTTGAATACACTTTAACTCATAATTAAGGAACAAAACAAAACAAAAAACACACACTGTGTGTGTGTGTGTGTGTGTGTGTGTCTGTCTGTCTGTTTTATGTGTGTATATGTATGTGTGTGTGTGTGTGTGTGTCTGTTTGTGTGTTTTATGTGTGCGTGTATGTATGTGTGTGTGTGTGTGTATGTGTGAGTGTGTGTGTATGTGTGTGTGTATGAGTGTGCGTGTATGTATGTGTGTGTGTGCGTGTATGTGTGAGTGTGTGTGTTTGTGTGTGTGTTTGTATGTCTATCCGTCTGTGTGTTTGCATGTATATGTGTGTGTATCTATGTGTGTGCGTGTGTGTGAGTGTGTGTGTGTGTGTGTGTGTGTGTGCGTGTATGTGTGTGTGTTTGTGTGCGGGTGTGTGCCTCTGTCTATATGTGTGTGTGCGCTTGTGGGTGTGTGTATGTATGTGTGTGTGTTTGCCTGTCTATCTGTGTGTTCGTATGTATTTGTATTTATGCGACTTGTAAGTCGCTTTGGACAAAAGTGACTGCTAAATACATAAACATGTATGTGTGTGTGTTTGTGTGTGCATGTATGAGTGTGTGTAATTGTGTGTGTGTGTGTGCATCTATGCATGCATGTTTGTGTGTGTGTGTATATGTGTGTGTGTGTGTGTGTGTGTGTGTGTGTGTGTGTGTGTGTGTGTGTGTGTGTGTGTGTGTGTGTGTGTGTGTGTGTGTGTGTGTGTGTGTGTGTGTGTGTGTGTGTGTGTGTGTGCATCTATGCATGCATGTTTGTGTGTGTGTGAATGTGTGTGTGTGTGCGATTTAATGTGAAAATACCAGATGTGTCATTGTGGCCTCCTCACACCCAGTAGCAGGGAGCTGAAGCCTGCAGATACGAGCTTTAGGTTTCTTCACCTCCTCGGCCATCTAGTAACCTCAAAGTTCCTCAGTAATTAGCTGTTATCTTTGAGACGTAACAAAATACAGCAAACTTCATCTGTTAACTTTGACACCTTTTAGCTCTGCGGGTTACTTCTTCTTTCTGCATTTTTTCTGCTAGCTGAAAGGACCTGTCAATAATCTTTGTAAACATGCTTACATAGAAGCAGTTTATTCATTTTAGTACAAACAAATTCTCATTCAAACGGATTTGATTTCATTTGTGTATTTTATTTTCTATAATGTAAATACCGGTTGTACATAGAACTGTGTACTCCTGACCAATCACAGCAAGGTTGGTCTGTGTCATCAGTGACCTACTTGTGTCTTTGGTCTCTTTTAAATAAAAAGATGAAATGCTAAAAAGTACAAACACAGCAAATGGAGAGAACTCACTCTTGTTCAACACAAGAAGCATCAAAATAAGTCAAGCAGTGCGAGAAAGAGCCCAAGGACACGTTGCACGTCGATTAGATAAATGATTTAACAATCTGTGTGCATTTTAATGCATGACCGTACACATTTAGACAGGTAAGTTGGAACAAATTTCTATTAGAATAAAATGAGCTACTGTTACCTAAACAGCTGGACTACTTAGGATCATTAACCTGGTTTCATTCTCTGAGTTTGTTAAAAACCAGTAAGAAATATTCTCAAAAAATATCCTCTATTTGCTTCAAAACAAAACATTGTTGACTTTCTGAGGTTTATAACAACTTTATACTTAAAAAAAAAGACTAAAATGAGTTTATATTATAAATATAGATGTTATTTATTCTGATGGCAACAGTGTAACGAGCCATTAGCAGTAGCCTAGTGTAGCTAACAAACTTACACTTACACATTTAACTATTTGCATTAAAATGGTTAAATCCTTAAATAATTGACAGGTTTTCTAACCGTTTCTTTACATTTACGTAAAAATTGCTTTCATAAGGGTAAAAATTCCCATTAGGACAATAACTTGACTTATTTCACACATTTTTGACAGTTCTAAACCAGTGCCCATCTCATTACCATACAGCTATGAGTGAAGAACTAGATTATTGCTCTAATGTCCTGCTTGAGAACGTCTTTGGAAGGCTGAAAAAAAGTACCATGCACTTATTTTCATGAGTCAATTAGTCCCACAGTAAGGCAGTATCAATGTATAATGCTATTTACCAGATCAGCAGGCTTAATATTTACAGTCACACCAGAAATGAGAACTCTGGCCTAAATGTACGATTTTCTTTCCAGATGATTCTTTCCCAGAACTTCATCGCTGAACTGGTACGTCAGCTTCTTCTTGATCTTTTTGACCTCTCCAGTTTTGCCGTAGTTGCGCAAGGCACGGGCCATCTTTTGGTAGGTCATTTTTTTGCGGTTTCCCTTCTGGATTCCCCAGCGATGAGCAAGGGCCTCTTTGTGTTTGGACGAAAACTGGAATGTCCCCTTGTCTCTGTCCACCCACCAGATACTGTCCTTCATATCCCCATTTCTTAAGAGGTCCAACAGAAACTGGTACAGACGAATTTTCTTTTTGTTACCTTGGGAAACATAATAGTGCAATTAGAACAAATCTAGTTCATCTCATTTGTTTCAACCAAATAATTTCATAACTCAGTTATTTGCAAGAACTTAAAAAGTTTTGTTGCTTTTTAGAATCCAAAATAATAAAATGGTTGTATCTTTTTACATCAATATGTTTGCTAATCAAAATACAAAAACACCTCCTTAAGAGATCAAATGAACGAAACAAACAAGGCATGGGCTCAGCTGGCTGAACCAAAAAAGGCCCCTCCCTGATGAATATGCTTGAATAAATCTACTGTTATCTAAGAGAAAATGGCATCTCTTAGAGTCAAATAGTTCAGTGAAGTGCTGAACCTGAACATATGACATATGTAATATACTATAATGTAATAAATTATAATATAATATAATATAATATAATATAATATAATATAATATAATATAATATAAAATAAAATTAAGTGCTGTGAGTTTATCACTGTTCATCTCACATACGCTGATGACTATTGCATTTATATGGCAGAGAAAAAATTCACTCCACAGAATTGTGCATTGAGAACACTTCTAAAATGCACCAGACTGGTTCTATGGCACAGTACGAAACAACTTTAGGGGTCTTTGAGTTAATTTATGGTTAATCTGCTGTAAATGACCCTTTTTTTAATCAATGATGCAAACTCAGAAATGTTTCTTTTGACCAGATCATGCTGAAACTTTTCCTTAAAGCTGCTATAGCAAATTTGGAAAACAAATTAGCTAACTTTTTTCCCCCGGCCTTTTAACAACCTTCTAACATAGTATAGCTATAAATATATTGTTGAGATAAAAAACCTAAGAAGATTTAATGAAGTGGTTCTCTCCCAGTGTCTAAAAACCTCCACCAATAACCCAGCTTGGAAAGCAGCTATTGGACCATCTGGTTGTCAGTCTGCCCGAATCGCCACACTACCCTGGGTCCTTCATTACGCACCCGTGTACTTAGCAACAAAACACCACTGGTGTGAGAGGTTCTCCACTCAGTAATATCAGAGAAGGAGAAACAGCCAACTGCTGCCACTTCAAATTGAAGACAAATTACCAGAGTCAAAGAAGAACACCATTTAAAGTCACGGACAACAAAAGACTTTTAGATCTAGTAAGCAGTGACTGATGTTTAGCACTATCTCGTTTCATTTGGTAATCTGGGTTTCCTGTTCCGGTGGATGCAGAACCAGGGAAAATTCCTGAGAGGAAGGGCGAGCGTTCCATGACCGTGTTTGCATAAAAACCTAGCTTGTTTGTACATTTGTGATAGCAGCTTTAAGTTGTCAATCAAACCACAAATCTATAGATCAGTATCAAAGCAGCTGACATGTTACTCGTACTGATTTTCATTATTTTCAAAAACCTGAAGAAAAAGCAGCGACTTGGCATTTTTGCTAAAAGGGCATGGCTGAGTTACTGAGCCCAAATAGAGTACAATATCTGGATTCTTACTCAGATCTCCTGACGTGACGTAAGGGACTCGGTCTCTCGCGCTCTCTTCATCGGACACCTCCAACGGGGGACTTCGCCCTCTGTGTTCTTCATCATCAGAACTGGGCTGAGATGCATGAGGTTGGAACATGCTTCGGGAGAAGAACACCTGCTGTAAACGAATATGGGAGAATCAGTCGACTCGATGGAATTACTATAAACAAATTCACTGTACACTTTTTGTATACTATACATTTGGCATTCTAGTTCTGAATTTTGGACAATAATGGAAGCATATTCATTCATTCAACATCTTTGCTGTTGTAATATCTCCTATCTCAGGAACATAATCTGCTCCTCAGCTATCTTTATATCAAATTTTTACACAAACATCACGCTCTCTCCCTTATTATTCCTGTAACAATAAACAGTGTATAAACTACCCAACGGCCTCAATAATTCTGATTACTCAAAGGCTTAAAAACGTCCTAGTCATGTTTTTATACACTAAAGTTTTGTTTGACACCATAAACCAGATTGTTTCACCTCATACCCCTCACATGCCTGTATTCTCAAGGTCTGACCAACAACTTTCTTGCATTCTTTCAGAATAAAATCAGAAATAACGGGGATGTTTTTCACACCCATCCTTTTTTCCCATCCAACCAGCATCCTTCCAATCGCGGTCTTTCTTTACTCCTGTAAATTTCCAGGACATTTGTCTCATTTAGGAAAACATGTAACCAACTTAATGCCCTGTTGATATTCTCCCAACTACCTCTTTAGGAATTTAGGAGTCTTCCCCGAATGTCCGAGCTCCTCACCCTATCCCTAAGGCTGAGCCCAGCCACCCTGTGGAAAAAACTCATTTCAGCCGCTTGTATCCGCAATCTTGTTCTTTCAGTCATTACCAAAAGCTCATGGCCATAGGTGAGGACTGGGCGATAGATGGACTGGTAAATCAAGAGCCTTGCTTTCCAGCTCAGCTCCTTCTTCACCCCAACAGACCGGTTCAGCGTCCACATCACTGCACATGCTGCCCCAATCCGCCTGTCGATCTCCCACTTCCTCCTTCTCTCACTTGTGAACAAGATTCTGAGATACTTGAACTTCTCCACTTGAGGCAGGACCTCTCTCCCGACCTGGAGTTGGCAAGCCACCCTTTTCCAGTCGAGAACCATGGCCACAAACTTGGAGGCGCTGATCCTCATCCCAGCCGCTTCACACTCGTCTGTGAACCTCCCCAGCAACAGCTGTAGGTCAGAGCCTGATGAATCTAGGAGGACCACATCATCCGCATAAAGCGGATTGATGCTGCATCTACAGTGATGCGGGCGTTGTACCGATCTATCATGGTGAAGAGAGAGCTGAACCAGAAGGTGAAGCTCTCGATTTACAGGTCGATCTACAATTCTAACCTCGCTCATGGTCCCAATTTTTGATTTGTGTCCAAACGAATGAGATCATGGATACAAGCAGCCAAAATGAGTTTTCTCCACAGGGTGTCTGGGCTGTCCCTCCCTTAAAGAAAAAGAAAGAAAGAAAGAAAGAAAGAAAGAAAGAAAGAAAGAAAGAAAGAAAGAAAGAAAGAAAGAAAGAAAGAAAGAAAGAAAGAAAGAAAGAAAGAAAGAAAGAAAGAAAGAAAGAAAGAAAGAAAGAAAGAAAGAAAGAAAGAAAGAAAGAAAATAATCTTTTATATAACACCTCTCAAGATAAAAAACACAAGGCGCTTCACAAAAACAAAAAATTAGACCAGCTCAGTGGCCTAGCGGTAGAGTGTCCATGCTGAGACTGGGAGATCAGGGTACAAATTCAAAGTTAAGGACTTAGACTTCCATATCACTGACTTTGGACTCGACTTGGAATTGATGGTCTTTGACTTGGACTTGATTCGAGACTTGATTGGAAAGACTTGTGACTTACTTGAGACTTGCAAAGCAGTGACTTGATCACATCTCTGGTGACAACTAATGGGACTTAAACGTTTTAACTTCAAGATTTCAAAAATGATTCAAATATGTTTAAAAGGAGAAAAGAAGAAAATGTAAGGAAAGGGAGAAAGAAAATGAATAGGAAAGAGGGAATTCAGTGGGTTTAAGGTGAGGTCGGGTGAGAAGCAGAATCATCTGGGAGGAGCTTGAAGGAGACCGGCTGCTCCTTCACATCCAGAGGAGCCAGTTCAGGTGGCTCGGGCATCTGGTTAAAGCCGGGCGTACACTGTGCGACTTTTTCACTCGCAGCGTTCAGCTTCAGCTCAAACTGTACGACTTCCTCGCAGAGCAGATCTCACGAGTCATGTGCTCACACTGCACGACCCAGTTCTCGCATGCGACCTGACTGCTCACACTGTACGTCTGGTAGCAACACGTCGGCCCTAAAAATGTGCTAAAAATAGCAGTTTTTACTCAACACGTCAGACTTTTTTGTCTTGCCTGTTGTCCTTCGGGAGTGCTGCAGGAGGACACACAGGGATTTATGGGGGTTGGATGAGGAAAACGAAATAAAGAAAGTGAATCTGTGTTTTGTGATCAGTTTAATTTGACATGAACACGACAAACACGCTTTCTTGACAATCTTTGTGAGTAAAAAAAACGTGTAGAAACAAAAACGAACAGCGTGTGTTATTAGGGAAATAGCGAGCGACCGGCCGGCGTTGATGCAGGATTGCGCGCGCATGCGCCGTGAGCGGTTCTGATACTTTTTGGATCGTAGCTGCTCGCAGCTGCTCGCAGCGCCGCTTCAACAGTGCGATACCCTCACGAGGGACGAGCGAAATATTAAACACACCAGAAGTCCCTGCGACCTCACGACTGCTGATCGGCGGCTGGTCACGTGGTGTTAATCGCCTCTCGTAACCCCCTGTACACTACACGACCGCTCGGCGCAAAACTCGCCCCGATGTCGTGGCTTCTCGCACGACTGGAAAATCGGCTCAAAAAAGTGAAAAAATCGCACAGTGTACGCCCGGCTTAAGATGCCTCCTGGACGCCTCCCTGTTGAAGTTTTCCAGGCGCAATCAACCGGGAAGGGACACACTGAAAGGATTATGTTCCTTGGCTAGCTAGGGAAGGCCTTGGGATTCTCCCGGAAGTGTTGGCCTAAGTAGTTGGGGAGAGGGAAGTCTGGACCTCCCTGCTTAGGCTGCTGTCCCTGCGACCCGACCCAGAATAAGCACCTGAAATTGGATGGATGGATGGAACTCAACATAAATGGCTTTTCTTAACGTTTCCAGTGACATCACGATGGCTGCAGACAACGAGGAATTCACAGAGTTAGTCCTTTTGGATCTTTCTGCAACTTTTGACACTGTTGTTCACAGAATCTCAATTAACAGACTTCATGACTTGGTGAGGATCTCTGGAACTGTTCTAGACTGGTTTAGATGGTAATTTTTCTGACAGAAGTTACAGTATCTGTACAAACCAAATCATGTCACTCTAACAACCTGTTCTGTGAGGTACCCCAAGTCTCTGTCTTAGGCCCACTCTTGTTTCTACTATTTTTACACCCTCTTAAAGTGTTCTGAGTTCTATAAACTGTCTGAACTACTAGAGTATCTATCTGCTTTCACCAGCTGGCTAGAAGATGACTTCCTTCAGTTAAACTCTGAAAAAACTGAATGACCAGTAATTGGCCCTGAGAGCATGGTTCCCCTGATCAGTCAACAACTTGGTCATTTATCTTCTGCCATCAAGTCAAGCGTGAGGAATTAGGGTGTTGTTTTTGACCAGTCAATGTTTTTTGATGACCATTCAAAAATGCTGGTCTGAAACTGTTCTTATCACTGAAGAAAGATCTCGAAACTGTGAAGGTTGGTGTTAAAACATAAACTTGAAATGGTTATCCATGCTTTTATCTCCTCCCGTCTAGATTACTGTAACACACTTTTCACATGTTTCAACAAAAAGCCCTTGACTGGCTTCAGATGGTCCAGAACTCTGCAGCGAGGCTCCTAACTGGAGCAAACAGAAGAGCACACATCACTCCTGTTCTAATGTCTCTGCACTGGTTACCTGTTAACTTTAGAGTTCATTTTAGAATCCTGACTATAACTTTCAATGCTCTACATGGTCAAGCTCCTCCCTATGTTATTGAATTGTTAAAGCCTTAAGCTCCAACCCGAGCCCTCAGGTCCTCAAACCAGAACCTTCTAGAAGTTCCAAAGACCAGATACAAAAGTTGAGGGGATTGCTGCTTCCATACTATTGCACCCTGACTTTGGAATGAGCTTCCTTTATCCTTGCATAGTATTGACAGTCTGGACACTGTGAAAAAGCAGCTGAAGATCCCTTTATTTATTTATTATTCTACTGTCCTGCATTAATTTTCCCTGCTTTGCTTTTCCAATGAGATTCTTTTGATTTTACTTTACGTAATGTTTATATTTCATTTTCCACCATCTGTGATCTATTTAAAGACTGAGTGTTTAAAGCTTTAGAAATGCTTAAAATGCTGTTGGCACAGACGATACAGTGTGTTGGTTTCTATTAAACAGTTCTTGCTGTGAGTGTGAGATGGTGGCACACAGTATTTGCATGAACAGTGATGTGTGGATATACTGAACTCCTTTTTCTATTGTTAACACGCTTTTAAAGTAGCAATCAGCGGTGGACAGCTTGTTTTCACAATTATTTTTCATCAGACCTTCATATTTTATTTTAACACCTAATCTCATTTTCGCTCTTTTATGTCTGACTGGGTCAGCATGTATGGAAACTAACACTCAGAAAATATAGAGAAAAAAGTTGGGTTAAGAGTGAAATTGAACACACGACCCAAAATCATGAGTTTGAAAATAACTAGAAAATAAGCACAGAAGTCATGTTTTAGGGGCTCAGATGGTGTCATTGTGTTTTTGTCTCTAACTGAATCCACAGTATTAGTCTTAAACGTGTGTGTAGCTTCTGTTTATCTGCATCACATGAGTTTGTGATGCTGAACCCACACAACGTGGGAGGGAGAAGGTTTCAGACCGAAAACGTTGTCACGGACGCTGAACTTAAGTCTTCCACCCAAACCAGAGAGTCTGTTCTAGTTCACTGATTCAGAAATGGAGGTTGAAACATACAGATGTGACTTAGACTGAGCTTAGCTGAGTCGACAGAGCCTAGTCAAAGAAAATGCTGTTTTTAAACAGAAAATTAAAAAAAAATGTAAAAACCCTAAAATTGCAGTTTCTTGTAACACAAAGATTCACTTCCTGATTTTTGTATAAAAGTCCTTGAAAGGCCTCTGGCTCCTTGACTCTTCTTTATGATGTAATTCCCAACTTTGAGATAAAAGTTAAGAGTTTGAAAGTACTGGAGGATGTTTTTGGAACGTGTGAGTTGTAGCTCACGTGTTGGTAATCAGTCAGATGGTGCAAGGACTTACCGGTTGCTGCAACACGTGTGTATGAGCACCAAGATTCGGCTCGAACAGGCTTTCTGTGTCGCATCGTATGAGGCCAGGCGGGTGGAGAGCCTGCACGCTCTGCAGCTCCGTGAAGCTGGACTCCTGGAGGCTTTCAAACTCTACCGGGTGCATGTGAGGGTGTGCATGGTAGTCCCAGTGATCTGAACAAAGGGGAGAAACATGCTGATGCATGGGGTCTTTTGCTGCTTCACGCCATCTCTACACAAGCAGGTTTATTCTTACATCTGTCAGCTCCTGATGCTAGTTCAGAAGCACCTCCACTCAGTTTGAAATATGTCACAGCAGCCATGTTATCTGAGAATCAAACCTGTTACTGCAGAACTCACCTTTGAAAACTTTTCTATCCAGATAAAATTATATGACAAAAAATATACAAAGAAAATTTTACGAGACAACTCAGAAAGTTTCAATTCTAAAAACTGAACACGATATGAAAAAAAAAGCACCACGTCCTCCAAAAAACTCATCATACCAAAACCTAAATTCTTGCAACTCGACCATCCTAACATCACACCATTATTTATCCTCCACCCGCACATTCTATTAGTTCATTAGAAAATTTTATCATTTCTTTATTGATCTTAAAGCTTCAGGAAGTTGTTTCTGGATATTTTTATCACACACACACACACACACACACACACACACACACACACACACACATCCTCTAAACCAGTTGTTTTGGTGCAATATTCAAAACAGAAGATTTCAAGAGAAAGTAAAGCACCTCTCGCACATTAACAAAACCCCTTGGGGAGAAAGTTGTTCTATGTCTGTAGTCGCGGCGGCCGAAAGAAAAGGCATCTGTTTCCTGTGTTCCATACACCCTAGTGTGGCGCGATCCAGCTGCACACGCCACTTTCTTTTTGAGTACCATAAACCATAAAAAAGAGGCTGTTTTACCACATTTGACTTTGGATTTCGAATAAATAACTGAATAAGTGTTGAAAATTATAAACAAGTTTACAGAAAATCCAGAGAGCTGTTAAAAAATGGTTCTGGACTCTGACGTGTTTCAACAGAGTGATAATGGTTTGCTTCAGATGTTTACAGTGTTTTAAATAAAAATCGCCTACTGGTTGCATTTAAAAAGCAATGAAACAAATTAAAATGTCCATTAAGGTAACACTCACCTGCCTGGATTTCAGCATCTAATACATAAGGATTATAATATTCTGGATGTCTGTAGATCTCAGACTCGTACATTTCTTCTGCGTGCTGCAAAATCAAGCAAAAACACACATTTTTCCAAAAACATTTTCTTAAACAAAACTTTTTTTTTATTCTGTGCTGTTTACAGTGCAGCCACATGACAGCTGTGCTTGTGAAAAACCAGTAAAGTAAACACATTGAGATTTAAACTTGTGTAAAATCCACATCATCTCGAGATGTTTTACATTCAAATGAAGACAGTTTTTGTGCTGCAACTATGGTTATTTCTTTCTTTCTTTTTTTTTTTTTTTTTGCTTCTACAGTTCTGAAACTTTAAAGTTTCATTTTCATGTCGGCTGTAGAATAAAAAACTGCACTCATCTTGAAACAGAGACCACATTAAGTCATCTAATTCTGAAAAAAAAACACATTTATCATGTATCCTTTACACAATGAAAGTTTTATTTTAAATAAAAGCTAAAAGTTCTAGAAAGGACAAAAAATATTGCTTTCCTAAAAGTCTCTTGGAGTTTAGATGGAAAATAATCAAAAATAAAATCTACTTACAGGAGGGATGAGGTAGCTCTCCATTCTGTATGGATGCAACATGGAGACCTCTTCACCAACAAGCCGACTCTCAGGACGCTTTGATGGCCAAACGCTCTCACAACCTTTCAAAACTTTTGTGGCACCATTGCACAATGTTTCAAAATTTCCTCTCACTCAACGAAAACCAAGAAAAAAAAAAAGAAAGAAAATGTCCCCCTCTCTTTTTTATTGTATGGCTTGTGACCTTAGCTACGCTCACAGGCCCTTTAGCTCTCCCAGACAAAATAAAGGCTAATCAAGGTCCTGCTGTTTGATGGTGAAATGAAAAAGGAACTTTTAACTTCTGTAAAACGTTGTGTGGGTGGGGGCAGCGGAGTGTGCCTGCTACAAGTTCCTGGCCATTGGTGATTTGTCAGAGGAGACCATGAAACTTCGTATTTATCAGGCTTGATATGCTGCCCCCTCCTCCAGCAGCCAATCACAAGAAGGGCTCACATCACCCACACTTTGCTCCTCTCATACATGCATCTTACGGGTAAAAAAACCCAACTGTAATTGTATAAATTGCACGTGTTTGTTGCTCTTTGCATCATATCATAACACAGTACCACACCAAAGATTATCTTGAAGGGTTTATTGCACGCAATGGGGCATGCATCGAGAAAATTAATCCAATAATATATTGCGGTTTTAAAGAGGCAGTTTTATTATAACTGAAAGTAGACTTATGAGAGTGAGTAAGCAATTAATCCAAACAATTTCTATGTGAAAGCTAAATTCTGAAGACTAAGATCGCATGTTTGTAAATTTATTTTAATTTGAAAGCCAGATTATTTAGATTAATCTAATATGTCAGTGTGGCAGATTACTCTCCTTTAGCTTTGAGTTTGCTTTTGTACCACAAATGGCAAAAAAACTTCAATGGAGTGTTATTTCATTAAAACTTTAATAAAATGTGACATTTCAGTGAAATCCAACAGTGCTGCATTTGTTATAATTTCAAGCAATCGTCTGTTCAGGTTCCGACTGCTGGCCTGAATACTTTGGAGCAAAAATCATTGAAATTTATTGCAAAAATACTGAAACACGCGTGTTTTTAATTGGTAACAAGAAGTAAATACGGACAATGGAAACACACTCCGAACTATATCTAGAAAAGAATTAAACACATTATAGTTTCTTTTTTCCATTAGTTACAAGCAAAATTCAACTAAACACATCCCCACCCCCCACCCCCCACCCCCCACCACCCCCCCACCCACCCACCCACACACACACACACACACACAGCTGGTAGATAAGATGTAGGTAGGGTATTTGTGCTGTAATCACTCTGAGATAAATGCAGGAGATGACCCTGTTGGGCCACAGAGGAACTCGACACGTCTGCTGGTAAACTAGACCCAGAAGAGAAAAGAGGACCGTTTGTTTTCATTTACAGAGCGCTGGTGTGAAAGATAGCGAACTATTAGTTCGACGTTACAGTTAGATTCGTTGCTGAGGTCTCTGAGCACACTGAGGGGATGGCTAAAAATAAAAGCCACGTTGAAATAACAGCTGAATAAAAAAGTTGTGCAGCACAAATCTGAATGTATATTATTAGATGAGCTTGGTCAAGAGGAAGAATGCAGCTTTGTGATAAGGCAGTGCACTGACTGGATTAGTTGCTGTTGAATAAAAATACAGACTTTATCTTGATCTTGTAACTTGGGTCGGTAAGGGCCAGAGGTGTCATCTCTTCCTTTAACGCACATATTCTTATACTGTACAAACCCACAGGTACTGATTATCTGAACTCTTCCCCTTTGGTGTGTGCCAATCTGTTTCTTATGCGCTGTGCAGTTGCTGCTCAGCTGGGAGGGCCGTGTGTTCAGAGTCTCAGTCCAAGGAGCTGTTAAAACCAGGCATGCTGTGGCCAACACCTCCACTGGTCCGTCTTAATCACAGCTGCCCGAGCAAAACTGATGACATGTACAGCAGCTTTTTCCCAAGTGTATTAATACACAGAGAGCTGCAGCAAGACCAGCACTATTTCTATCACGACTATTTTCAGTAGAGCCAAGTTTTCTTCTCACACAGATGCAAAAGCGCCAAAACCCGCTTCACGCTAACTCAAACTCCTGAATAGGATGATTTAGTGAAACACGCAGTATCGATTATAGGTTGTCTGATCTTTCTTCAGCTCATTTATATGAAGATACACTATTTGAAATATAAATTAAATTCAGAGCATCACATCAGAGGAGTTCGATTTGAGTTTATGAAACAGTCTTCCTCTCATTGGGGGTTTAGTCGTGATGACCGTTTTCTATAGTCTCAAATAAATATCTCACCAACAGCTGGATAGACTTTTGTGAAAGTCTCAAAAGGCAATTGTTGGATGTTCATGTACGAATGAGTTTAGGAGTTAACACAGTTCAAGATGGCTACCAGGCATGGTGTGGTGCGTTGAGTCACTGCCAGCGATAATACAGGTGAAACGGGAAAAATAAGATTTTGGTGCAAAAGTCAGTTTATGTCACTGATTCACTGTAGGCATCTTTATACGGGCAGGCTGGATGCTCTGGAGGCTTATTGCTGCCTAGCCCTAACTTCACACTGGAAGCATCAGCAGCGCGGGGCGGCAGCAGAGCACCTCTGCCTCAAGTAGAATCAATCATAGTCTATGGGGGCGTTTCAAACCAGCCACGATGCAGACATTTCCAGAAGTTTCCCAACAAAAGCTCTTCAGCTGTGCCACGAAGATAGCATCAGGTTCTATTTTTGCTACGAGGCGCTTCTGGGACGCGTCAATTTCCACAGAAATCACACACATTTTCAGTCTAAAACCTTTGGCGATTTTCAAAATAAAACACTACTGCAGCAATGCGATTTAATATCTATGCAGATTACATCAAACCCTGTGACCTATTGGCTTATTTACTCCTACCGTCATTCGAGATGTACACCAGTGTGTTTTCATGGCTCATATCTTGGCAATGGAGAGGAACAACATCACATATGACATCAAACAGGGATATCAAACATGATCTCCTTCTTTTTGGTTTAATGGCTGACGGCATAACCAAACTGTGACCTTTGAAGTCTCAAGGGATTTTATGATCTTGCAAGTCCAGTGAGTAGCACGGCAGAGAAGCCGCTTCATGCCTGAGATTCTCCCGGTGTGTACTGACACGCAGCAAAGCTCGCAACTAAACTGTCCCACGCCACTGATGCCTCCGGTGTGAAATAGGGGTGAGTCATCCCTTCACAACAAAATCCAAGCTCACAGGCTATCGTACACCCCGATAGTGTGTAGAAAGCCTACGAGCGCCAGCATAGTTTATGCTTCTACATTGACAAGCAACACCCTTAGCCGTCCTTGCGAGGGCTCTCAATCAGGCTTGCAAGGACAGACGGAGTCAAGACCACTTTTTTAAACACACGTCGAACGATACGGAGTACGCAAGCTTGTGATTGGTCAGGAGGATGCCGCTTTTGCCAACAGCACTGCCATTGCGCTCTAAAAAAATTATCAGAGAGCCAGAGATATCTAACAGCAGACACGGAGCAGCTTGAAGAATACCTTGTGGAAAAAACCCAAAAATATTAACGTGTCATTCACTCGTGACTTGAGGAGTAGAAAAAAAAACATGCAGCAAGTGTTTTATTCATGGATGGAAATGATGGAAAACGTGTGTTTAGGGTGGCAAATGCATGAAGAAGGACACATTTGTTTGTGTTAAAAAGTATCTGACATATAAAAACACAATTTAAACACACTATCTTGCACCGGATACATGACAGGATACCACAGAACAGCGCTACGCCCTCAGTTGTCCTGGCGCGGGATTGCTTTGCAACACTTTGCGTCTCTGCCTTGTGGAGCTGACTCAGCAGCACAAAACAGGCTTTACCCTACACACGTCAACAGAAGCTAACAATGTGGCAAAGCTAAACACAGCCACTCCAGCATCAGCCAAAACTCCAAATGACACCCGTTTCTGTCCCACATACTTCTCATAATGCACGAGAATGTGACCCACCGTCTCAGACTCCCCGTATTCAAACCTCCTATCTGGGTGTTTCACAAGCAAAAACAACCCACCTCAAAGGCCACTATTCCCCAGCCGCTACCTCACCAAGACAACTGAGTCCCACCTCGAGTCTCCACCAAGCACTGTAAACCATAACTGGTCCTACCCTTTCGCCCACCATCCCATGTTCTGCCAGAGATCCATAGCCACCCGGTCTACCTCAAAATAAATGTCCAGTCGACCATACTCCACAGTCACCTCTACCTCATCCTGTAGCAGAGAACCTCCACGTCCGACAGCTTGTTTCCCGCCACCCCTACATGAGCAGGGACCCACATACCGCACACCCCTGGCCAGCGAGTCTATGCAAAGACTGGTAATTCATCTTAGACTGAAAGACCATCTAAAGCAGGGTTCCTCAACTAAATTTGTTCAATGCCCAGAGTTTTTTCCAGCAGACACCAGATGCTCTTCTAAAATAAAGTTTGAGTGTTATTGTAAAAATAAAATTTTGTTTTCCATCTAAACTGTTTTGATTGTAGTTTTAGTTGTGTTTGGAGGACGTAAACAATTATTGATATTTGGGACAGGAATTTTGCTGAAAATGTTTGAAGGCCGCCAGTTGGAGGACGCTAGGCCCCAAAGGGTTAGGGGGCCGGGTGAAAAGGTCTGGCTGGCCAGATGTGGCCCGTGGGCCGCCATTTGAGGTTCACTGCTCTAAAGGATCAGGAACCCTTTGCAGGTGTTTTGGGTTAATTAGCTGACCAGGGTGTGAGCCTTTGAACCTAGAACATTAGTGGAATTGTGTGAGATTTAGAAAATGTTGGTTTTCATCAGCTGTAAGCCACAATCTTCACAATTATAACAAATAAAAGCTTGAAATATCTGGCTTTTCATGGATAGAGCCTCTCATATTAGTTTTATTTTTAAGATGAATTATGAAATAAATTAACTTTTGTACCGTATAATAATTTTTCCAGTTTTAAATCTAATCAATTTGTTCATATATTGCGCATTTCTACAACATGAAACAAAACAGATCCTAATACAACAATTAAAACAAAAAACAAATATAAAACAACACGGGCAATCATGGGCCATTGCCCTCCCGAAGCACTGTGCCAAAAGAACGGATGTAAAAATAAGTCTGTAATTTTCTAAGTTTAGCCCTCCCACTGTCTTTATGGGTGACCCCGCGAGGAAAGTTGACCATTGAACAGGGTTGATGGTTTATCCCTTGAGGTCCACGTGGCAGGGGTGAGGTGCCCCTGCCACGTGGACCTCAAGGGATAAACCATCAACCCTGTTCAATGGTCAACTTTCCTCGCGGGGTCACACCCATTAGGACAGTGGGAGGGCTAAAAGTTTGCAAAGACATAGCTTGCCAGACAGCTAACGGCAAACTGTTCCGGAATGTTGGAGCCATCACCGTCTCCTTTTGTTTTATACCTGTTCCTGTCCAACCGAGCAAAGTATCTAAGATGGAGTTTATCTGCTTAGTCGAGCATTTCCATGCAGAGCCTTGCAGACGTAGGTCAACATTTTAAACGTGGCTCGCTAACTCACCTGTAAAGTCAGTAATTGGGAAAAAGACTGTAACTCAACAGATATTAGGTTGAAATTGAATGTGTTGGTAGCTAGAAGCCACTCTCAGCACATTCTCTGATAGTTAATGAAAAAACGTTTAGCGATGTTGTATGCAATTGCACGTAATTTAAACACTGAAAAATGTACACGTTTTAGATGCCAGGATTCAAGTTG